CTGCTGTTTACTGTTTACCGTCATGTATTATGTCTAGTAAACCATGTATTACCACTGTGTATCGCCTACTAGCAAAGAGAAATGTCTTTCGGGCCCGGATCTTACTGGTAGCAGCGAGTGCAAACAGCAAGTTGGATGTAAGGTGAGTAATTTTTTTGGTTTTAACTAACCTTCGCTCCGCAGTGGGCAACGAACGATCTTGGAAAATGTTCCATGCTCAATTTTCTCCATTTTACGTTATCAGTATCAAAAGCCAGATTCGTGTAGTCTTTTTTTTTCTCAGCATGGACGAAAAAGTGCATGTAGAACTAGGATCATTTCATACATCTATCTCTAACCATCTTCTTAATAGTGATTTCGCTATCTATGATTTCCTTTGACCTTTCTTTTGGCGCCTTTCTATCTTGTTTTTGGGAAAATGTCTCGCGAGTGATTAAATGATGAGTGCATAAGTATTTTGGATCGGAGCATTGAAGTTTCGTGTCGAGTTTTGAATTGAAGTATCGCGCGTGTCTCATGAGTAGTGGCCCGACAAGGCGTTAAACTGTTGGAATGGTGATCGATCAAGTGTTGAGAAATGTGAAAGAACGCTAGTGAGTAAGCTGCAGCTATGGAGATTTCCTGAAGTTGAAGTAGTGGTTGTAATGCGTTGCTCCGAGTCACCGGTGATAGAGTTTTGAGCGTTCTTGTATAGAATTAGCTAGATTTAGTGCATTGTGACTATGCATTTACAGATCTTTTCATCTATTACGCTTAGGTTATGTAACATTATGTTTCGTCATGCAACGTCCGCGCATAAGGCGCCGCGAGAACTACAACGAGCGCCGCGGACAAATGTTTATGTCGGCGATGTGATCGCATTCCCAGATACAGAGCGCGGAAAGCTTATGATTTATAAACATAGGGAAAATTATGTTTTTTTCTCATGAGATAGACAGAAGATAAGGGTCGGAGAAAATGGTTCTCAGGGATATGTTTACATATTTTTTTTCCTTATCTGATAACGGACCCGTATATATACATGGCAGTGTTAGAAGAAGACATTTCACATATTCTTCGTTTTCCATCGTACTTTTCTTGCGTTCTTTCCTCGAATGGCACCTCCGATAACTCGCTCTCGTGCCCATTCGGTTGATACAGGGGTCGTAGTTACCCAAACACAGAGCTTAGAACCTACTACTGGTCCCGTAGAGGACACTGATACAGATACAGCAACCCCGGATAAAATGATGGCCACTCTTAGAGCTACACTAGGCGATGTGGGGGATTCAGATGTGGTGCATGGTCGAGATGCCAAAGCTCTTAGGGATGCAACATCCGACGTCGTTACTAATATGTGGTACGATACGCACTATAACACCTCGCAGCTAGTACAGCGCTTTAATAACAATAGTGCGGCGCTTCTCAAGGGGATTACGGACAAGGTTGACGCCATTGACACTCGTATAAGCACCTTGCCCCAAGTAGCGGTCTGCAACCCGGAGGGACACCACATCTACTTTTCGGCATATACGGGATTTGGGGATACGTTGCAGTTCAACACATGGCTCCGCCGTTTTGAAGATATTATGCGGACCCGTCAAGGGGTGTTGTCCTCAGAACACAAAGCTAATATCCTTATAACGTACTTAGACGGTATGGCGCGTGAAAAAGTCGAGCAACTTTCGTACATCGAGCGCCAGGACTACGATAAAATAGTCGCGCACCTAGCTAAGAATTTTGACACTCCGCAGCAGCGTTATATGACGCGACAGACTTTGTTGGCATGCCATAAAGAAGTAGGGGAATCGGTAGTAGCGTCACCAACAATTTGAGAAATTAGAGGCTACGGCGGGACCAGGGCAAGTAGTACAGCAGGAGCAAAACTTAGTAGAGTTTGTGGAGCGACTGCGCACTGATATTCGTCGACAAGTTCAGAGCTAGCATTTCCCCATGAGCCAATATTCTCCCCAAGGGTCGTGGACCCAAATCCAGATGACTGTAACCAGAATTGCAAAACAGCCAGCTCTTCTCTTATCTTTGCAAAAGACTCCGCTTTTGTTATTGGTGCACTCGAATCCAATGTCCCGGAAAAAGATGAATAAACTGTCACGACAAACTCTTAGAAAGTCCCTTCAGGACTTTTGGGTAAAATGGGGAGGTGTAAGAGGGAACGATATCCCACGGTGGCATATGCAGATGTTGACATATTTCTACAATCAGCATAGCTGAGAACGATCTGATAACGGTTGCCAACCAATATAAAACAGACACATGAGACTGTAGGGGAGAGATCTCGGAACCCCCAGCTGCAGAGCGGCACGCTCACCTACAGATCGTCTGGCTCCAACCTCTGCTGTTTACTGTTTACCGTCATGTATTATGTCTAGTAAACCATGTATTACCACTGTGTATCGCCTACTAGCAAAGAGAAATGTCTTTCGGGCCCGGATCTTACTGTATCTGTGGCCCTAAAGAGGGCCGTTGGGTCGCAGTTATTGGCCCTAAAGAGGACCGTTGGGTTAGAGCTCTTCAGTTGTCCGAAGTCATCATGAAGCTTTGCTGTATCGTAGAAAGTGCTGAGGCGTATATGCGTCCATGCCGGTGATGACCTCCAGTTCTCGCAGAAGGCGACGGCGATTTCCTAAAAATAAACTACATAGAATATGCTCTCAATACTTTCTTTTGCGTTCGTTTTGCTTAATTTCCTTTTTTTCAGTTTCAGCAAAAAAATCAATACCCAAAAGTCCGAAAAAAAAACCCAAACCAAAAAAAAACCCAAAAAACCCAGTTCAAAGTCCGTCCTGTGCCCCCCCCTCTCTACCCCCCCCCCCACCCGGTCGACATTTTTGGGAGGTGAGTGTCCGGCACTACCACCTTCACTTTTGGCAGCCAGTGGTAGCAGGGACCACCTTCACTTTTGGGGGACCCGGCCCCCCCTATCGCACCTCTGCCGTCATGGCGAAGACGCAGAGTCGTTGCGGGACCTCATGCTTATAATTACGGCTGCGCGCTCTAACCATGGAAGTCCATGGGGTGGGCGGGTTCGGAGAGGACAGGAGATGAGCGCTGTTTTCGCTTTGAAATTTTGGAGGTTAGAAGTGGCAGAGAAAGACCGAACTTTGGCCCATAGGTTCCATTATGGGGGCTCCTACCCTGTGACTTGTTTTGCCACGGGTCTCATTCTGCGACTCACTGCCTTTAAAGGCAGTGTCCGGGCAAAAAGTCAATTTTGAGATTTTGTGCTTACCCGGGCCCATTCGCCATGCTGAATCCGAAAATCCACACTGGAAAGCGCGAAAACGGCGAAAAATGGCTCTAACGCAGGAGGGAAACAACAAGTGGGCGGGGCCCTCCCCACTGTGGATTCAAGCTCCCAGCTTCCGGAGCGTTCTTCTCGCTTCCGGTTTCAGGTCAATCATTCGCACTTGGCCGGTAACGATGTTAGGACGGCTAGCTGAATCGAGAAGAACGCTCCGAAAGCTGGGAGCGTGAATTCACAGTGGGGAGGGCCCCGCCCACTTGCTTTTTCCATTCTGCGCTAGAGTCCTTTTCTGCCGTTTCCGCGCTTTCCAGTGTGGATTTTCGGATTCAGCATGGCGAATAGGCCCGTATAAGCGCAAAATCTCAAGATCGAGTTCTTGCCCGGACACTGCCTTTAAGTTCCCATTCCCTAAGCCATGTAGCTGTTTAAGAAACAAAGAAAATGTCCAATTTTCAAGCCTCTGATAAATCACTTTTCTTTTGGTATTCCTTCATTTGCATAGTAAACAGCTGGTCAACTTCTAACAAAAAGAGCACCAAGATGCTTGCAGACACTCTTCCCAACTCTAAGTTATCGGGACCAGCCATACTAATCCTGTGATTCCTGCGATTCCTGCGGGTCCCGTAACAATGTATATTGCGAAAAAACAATGTATCTATGTTGAAATTCAATGCGCCCCGTAGTGCGGACATTGGATGTTGAGGAATCACCTCTTGGAATAGTATGGCCAGTCTCATCGAATAGCGCAAATCGGAAAAGGCGTGTGCGCGCAAGGAACGTAGTTGCAGAATCGCTAAGTTACAGTTCGAAATATGGCGCGGCACGTCAGATGTTTCAAATTCATTGCATTCTCTATGTTGCTTTTCATTAGTATTTTGCTTGAGTTTTTGGTTTTCCAAAACAAAAGGTATCCGGTACTATTCCACATAAGTTGACCCAAAAAATGAAAATCGTGAATCTCGCTAAAACTTCGTCTAGGGGGGTTATTTGGTATGCTGAACACGAATATGATGTTTATTTCGTGCGACAGCGCCATCCGGTGGAGTTACGGTAGGATTACGGTAGGGGGTCAAAATCACGGATTTGCCCGAAATTTGGCCCAAAGGGGTTATTCGACCCGCTGATGCCAAATATCACATTGGTTTTGAACCGTAGCGTCATTTTATCGGGTTACGGCAGATATACGGTGACGGGTGTAAAACATAGTTCATCCCGAAACGGGTGTGTGGCGATTTGGATGATCGTGAAGCTTTGCACACATGACCGCCGCCGCGCGCTACACACTCTGCTGCGGCTTTTGCCTAAGCAAAGCACAGGGGAAGATACATTTGCCGATTTGTGATTTTGACCCCTACCGTAAACCTACTGTAACCATGCAGGGAGACGTTTTCGTGCGGAAAAAGTGTGACATTGCTAATCAGCATGTCGAATAACCCCTCTGTGCAAAGTTGCAGCGAATTTCGAGATCTTGACCCCCTACCGTATACCCACCGTAACTCGAGAAGATGACACTACAGTACGAAACCAATGTGATATTTGGCGTCAGCGGGCCGAATAACCCCTCTAGGCCAAGTTTCGGGCAAATCCGTGATTTTGACCCCCTACCGTAATCCTACCGTAACTCCACCGGATGGCACTGTCGCACGAAATAAACATCATATTCGTGTTCAGCGTACCAAATAACCTCCCCAGACGAAGTTTTAGCGAAATTCACGATCTTCATTTTTTGGGTCAACTTATGTGGAATAGCGCCAGGTATCCTTACTCAAATTGTGATGTTGTAGAATTAGAAGGTAATCAAATATGGCAGGCAATTTCTGGCAAAGTTCACATTATGATCAATGGATTTTCGAAAAACAAGAGCTGTTACGGATGCGAAGTGAAGATTTGAAGGTAATAGCTGATTTTGGCATTTTATTTATTCTTCAAATTTGAAAATATCTTGATTTGCCTTTAGTGATCGTGTTTAGATTTATAGCGAAGAGGAATACCAGAAATTGATGATTTTCTGGGCTAATCTCATCCAAACATTAGCGGTTGAGGGTATTCAGCAAGGTCATCCGAAGACAAGGATGCAGGTTCGTTCATTCCATCAGCTTTCATCAGTTGTTTCATTGTTTTTTTTCTTGAATGCAAACACTTTAGGTTATTGCTACAGCCATAGTGTATTTTAAGCGATTTTATGCTCGTCGATCATACAAGGATGTCGATCCGCTCCTCATCGCTTGTGCTTCTGTCTTCCTAGCATCAAAGGTTTGTTTATTCTTTCTTACTTGTATATGACACGTTTGATAATGTTTATGATGTGTTAGTTGTTTGCAAAGGTGTTTCAGCTATCGCAAAATACTTTGCTAATCCATGAAAACCGTTTCAGGTGGAGGAACATGGGTTGATGTCAATGTCAAATTTGATCAAAACCATTCCGAACTGTCTGAAAAAGTGGCCAAATCTCACCTATGATGCATCTTCCAAAAATAGCGGGCTATATGATGCTGAGTTTATACTGGTGGAGATGCTTGATTGTTGTTTGGTTGTATACCATCCATATAGGCCACTTACTACAATGTTACAGGTTGGTAGGGAAATCTTCTGAAATTTTAACTCCGGTTTCAAATTCTTCCCTCTGGTATTTTTTGTTAATAAAGGCGCTTTTTCAGGATATTGCACGGGATCCTACCGTAAAAGATTTCCCACCCTTTGAGGAGCAGTGCTGGAAGGCAGGTTTAATCGTTTCTTTTATGTTTTGTTGTTGCTTACTTATGTTTTCTTTTCACTATTTATAACTTATTTTCTTTTTTTTTCTCAGTGTCAAGTGTACACATGTCCGGCCACCATGTCAAGCCTTTTCGCTCCGGCCAGACTTCGCTCAAAAGCGCCCAAAACGCTCAAAAGCACTCAAAAGCGCCCAAGTTTCACTAGTTCTCTCATCTATCCTCACACGAAGAAGTGAAGAGACGTTAGAGAAATCTGGGCGCTATTGGGCGAAGTCTGGCGGGGGCGCTTCCATTGAGAAGAGCTCGTAACCTCTGACTTACTTTGACCTTTTCGTAATGTGACCCGTATACAAGTGCACAAAAAATGACATTTAGTTGTATACTAGACTAGACCAAAAGCGGATCAAGCGCTCATGTCTTTGTTTTGCATAGTACGGCATATCGAAAACAGACAATGGCCATGATAGGTCTACTATCCGCCCAGAATCAACTGCAAGACAGTAGTTTTGGGTCTTGAAGTGTTGTGTCGATATTTTTTGATCCTTCTCCTTCGAAACGCTTTTATCAATTAGTGATTTATTTTTTAGAACATAATACCGTACATGACGTGACTAGAGAATGGACTCCTTGTTTTAGGTCGCCAATGACTCTCTTCGTAGCGACTGTTCACTCCTTTACCCTCCACACATCATTGCCATTTCTTGCATTATTGTTGGAGCTGAGTTGATGAATAGAGAAAAGGACATCAAGGTTTGATGCCTATTTTCTTAGCATTTGTGCGAGCTTATCAAAATCGTTTTAGATGTGGCTTCCAGAGCTTTCCGTTGATTTCGAAAAAGTCTACGATTGTGTAAATACTATTTTTGCCATGTATAAAACGTGGAAGACGTTTGACGAGAAGGAACACGTGAAGCCATTGTTTGATAAGTTACCAAAAATCAATCCTGGTCCTACATTTTGAACGTTCATAGTACCATTTTCTTTCGTATTTTATTTTCTTCCATGCTTGCTTTATCGTTGTATGCTTCACCAACTTGTTAGAACTCTCTACTGTCATTTACCTTGACGTTTACTTTCTTGAGCATAGTTTAGTCAAACCTGGCTTTCAAGTAACATTTTATGTTTCCGATTTAAACTAGTTTATGTTTCATGATTATTCGGAGACCGCATGTTCATGAAATCTTGTTAGGTGACTAATTATCAAGCTACGGTTCGTTATCAGTTTTTTTAAATTTTAGATCAAATGTATGACTTAGCAGTGATTAGACTTTGTATTTTCTAAGCATACCTGTGATACATACGAGTATATTGTGCGGTTTTGGAATAAACTGTTTGTAGTGGCACTCACAAACGTTTCCAAAGTCTTGAGACATATATCTTAGCCTGTTATTCTTCGTATTTTTAAATTATATTTATGCAAAGCTGTCACATTTTCTGTCAGCTCAGGGCTGTGTCGCCGCATTGGGTGCGTTGGTTACAGCATACCCAGGACATACCAACTCACGGTGAAATCAAGAATGTCAAAATCGACCAAAACGTCTTGCGAGGTATCGAAAATCGTTGTATATTTCCTTTCCAACAAAATTCTTTCTTAGGAAAATGATTTCCAAGTCTTTGCTCTCAGCTCTGAAATGCGGGAACTCACACCAAGTCAAAGCACTCCTGGCATCTGTAGAATCATCACAATGGCCAACTGAGGTTCTGTTGCCATTCACATTACAAAAGGTGCTGCGAGCACTACCGTACGCTGAAGAACTGGACTACATAGCGAAATGTTTTAGGTCTGTCTGTACTTATTTTCGGAAGAAACTTTCTTTAAAACCATTGAGTTGAAATAATTCAATCTACAGGTTATTCTCGGGCTTACAGCGACTCCCTGAAATGAAAAGGAGAGAAGCCGCAGAACTGCATCGATTGGCGCTTTTAAGCGTGAGTTAAGTTCCCAGTCAAATTGGGCCAAAAATCAGCTGTTCCTTACAGGAGTGCATTCAAGCAATGATGACATCCAAAAATCTTGATAAATTGAGCGATCTTGTGATGCTGAAGTACCAAGAAATCGTGGTGAGTGAATAAGAGTCGCGCATCCTTGATACTCCTGCTCCTTGAAATCCTTCAAATGAAACTTTTTATGTTATTATCATGTGGCAAAGTCTAAGGGATGAAGGCAAACTGAGCGAAGGCTCATGCAAAAATCTATCGAAATACCCTTTTCGAAATAGATCGCCCTTTATTGCAGTCGCTGGAAACATCTATTTCATTTCCATTGATGGTCGACATAGAAAAGTACCCTTTTGCACGCAGTGGGTAGAAAAGTGGCTTTTCAGCATCACGATGAGGGTGATGTTATGGGTAATTGTCGAGCAGATCCCCATAATGTACACCTAATATTTTTTCAGATTTTTTATCACTAGTAGTTGCTGGTATTGCTCTCCTTGGTTTATTCTTTGTTACTTTTGAACTTTACCGTCGTTCTCATTCTCCTTATCCGCAAAATTCAGAGTCTATATGCTTGTCGACGCTATGTGCCACAGTTCAAGTACCTGGTAATGGTTTGTCATCGAAGATCAAGACTTCTACAGTTCAAAAAGAGGTAAGCTGGTGTTCTTTCAATTTATTTTCGTATTTTCCTCATTTTTAGGTCGAAAGTGTTACTTGCGCTCCTTGAGAAGCTACGAAAGAATGGCTTGATATTTGTTGATTACTTGATCAGTGTTATGGTTAAATAATGTTGTTATTTCTTACATTCTTATCTTTGTTCTCCTTGTTGATACTGGTATGTTCGATCTTCTTTTGCGTACAAGAGTCTCTTCCTTATGCTTTTTTTTACATATTATTTCTCATTTATACTTTTCAGTCTTCTTTTTGGTATTTTTTGGTATTTTCTCAATTTAGCTTTGTTGATTTGTTTGTTAATAATAAATCTGAGTAATAGTTCGCTATTCACGGATTTGGCTAGCATTCCACTCAGTCTCGATCCGATAACGGCGTTTTCCATCTGTAACTGATGCTCTAGTCAACTTATATCCCACTCAGTCATGATTGTGGTTTTGTTTAATTATTTCGTCGTTCTAAGCAGTGTTGGATAGACTTTAATGAACTTCGCCTTTCCAGCTACAAGCTCCAACAGATCTCTTTGAACAGATGGTGGCACAATACCCGAATGCGACGCTTCCGCTATCGGATCCACGCTATGCCACTTTTTTACGATTGTACCGAATGGACATCATTGAATTGTTCAGTAATTTGAACTACTTGCCATACTTGGAAAGCTTCAAGGATTTTTTCGGTAAGTTTACTTTTTTCGAGGTTGCTCTGAAAATTTTCTTGACAGTTTTCGAAGATCCAGACATTGCTGATATCTACTTTGTCATGGATGAGGTCAGAGCTGCCGATAGATCTAACAAAAAAGAAAGGAAGGTGTGCAAGAATTGAGCACGTTAGGAAGTTTCTAGAGAATAAACTTTAGGTGATCGCTCTTGAACACTTCTGCGATATCGTTCTTGAACATCCAGAGGCAACAACACTACTGGACTACACACTTCAGAAATGTCAGGAAACTTCTACTTGTTTTAGATATAATTATTCAAATTTTCAGTGAACCCAAAACTATGGAATGAAGCCCATATGAACGATGTGAGAAGAGATTCACCGGTTTTAAAAGTATTCCTGGAAAAATTTTTTCCAAAAGGAAAAGAAGAATTGATCATGTTGGACAGGTAAACAAACAGTCAGTTCTCGTCCACACTCATTTTTTTCTGTTCTAGATGTGCTGCTGCTTTAGAGCCCGAATTTTTTGTGCAGACCTTGTCAAAGTCGAATCACCCGTATCCAGAGCTAATTCCACCAGCCCTGAAAGCACCAAAAGATTGGAATGGGGGTGAGTATAGTCGCTCAGGGACATGTGGCGTATTTTTCTTTGCCTTCTTTAGCGAGGTGAATCCAGTGGACATTCGCTTCGCCATAGGTCAGTTCCCTGATTTGACCAATCGAAGTAGATGAAGTGGATCAGGCTCATCAAGTGGATTGAAAGCAACGTCCAGGCAGATCTGGATCTATGGGGATTTTACGTGGAAAGTACTTTTGGGGCCTTAACTACGGCACTGCTCAAGCGGCAGGCAGGTAGTGCTCTAACGGCTGAGATATCCCCCTCGAAACTAGACCCCGCGATTGTATTCGCATGGATTCATGGCAGTTTTGCGCCAGGACACACGCTTTGCGCCATGAGTCCATGCGAAATACGATCGCGGAGTCCATTTTCAAGGGGAATATCTCAGCCGTTAGTGCAGTACCTGAGCTGCCGGTTGGCAGTGGCTTAGTTAGGGCCCCCAAATTACTATCCACGTGAGATCCAGTGTGTGCAGACTTGCCTGCACGCAGCCTTTAAGTGCAGCGCGTGCCCAAATTCACGGCATTCTAACGTAATCGCACATTCTATGCCCATCTGCGCTGCTTTTTATGGATTTAAAAAACATATTCCTTTTCGCTGCTTTTATGGAGGCTTGATATTTTTAGAAAATGATGACCGATTTTGGGCTGCATGCGTTTTGCGCACTCTACCTCGTCTAGAACGTAAGACTGATGACTGGTACTATGATTTTGTCGAGGCTTGCTCTGGTGATCCATATAATCGCGCGGTACTATGGTACCTTCTGCCGAATTATGAACAGGTTCTAGGTAAGGTGTACCTCTAATGTGACAAGACATGCTAAGTATACCTATTGCAGAAGAACGTCTAATCGAACGACGACGTCGCCAAGGTTTCCGAAGCATTCGTGATGATGGCGATATCAGTGATTTGGAAGTGGTGACAACGATGCGTAAACCGAGCGATTATTTCAAGTTTAGGGCGAGCGGTAAGTCAGAGCCTTGCTAATTCGTTGCAGCCTAGCCTATCAATTTATTCTAGATTACGATGATGTACAAGACCCCGAAGTCCTAGCGCTGAGACCATATCAAGAAGAACTTGTATGTTAATCCGTCTCCGAAAGACTTGAAGTCTACTTGAAGTCCTCACCTTCAGGTGGAATCTGCTCTACGTGGCAAGAATGTCATAGCCTGTGCACCTACAGGCTCAGGTAAGACCGAAGTGTGCATCTATGTGGCAATGGCCCATTTGGATGCTAGAGCTTTGAAGAATGAGCCAGCACGGGTGAGCTTAGCTTCCTTCTTTATTCCTTCTTCTCAACTTATCCTTCGCATTAGGTAGCCATGTTAGTGCCAAGAATTCCCCTCGTCGATCAGCAAAAACTCAGGTTCCACAAATATGTTCGAGGAAAGTGAGTTGGTGTCAGTTGGCAAGTCGAGTAGTTGAGATAAAGAATTGTATAGTTGTGTAAAGACACATGCTACAGGGATCTATATGTCTCAGTGAGAGTGTCGCAGCTAGCGGTTCAGGTTCTAGCTGTAGCCTTGCTCGGGCCCGGCGCTGCATCCCAGACGTATCCTTGGGGCTTTTTCCATACTTGACTGAAGATTACGAAAATAGTCAGTGGATACGTTCGCGAATGTGCCAAACCCGAGTGAGGCGGATGCGACGGCCGTTGGAGCTGTGACAGTCTCACTGAGACAGCCTATAACTGGTCGCGGGTTGGGCAAACGTAGCTGGTTAACCAAACAGATCTCGCTTGAACGTCTTCATTTTTTTTTTGTTACAGGTACTATGTCGAAGGTTTTCATGGCTCAGAAGGTGCGAAAGGCTCGTCTCGGCGAGATACTGTACTGGCATGCGATATTGTAGTGATGACACCGCAAATTTTATTGTAAGTACTTATTGCTAATGATGCTGTTGTTTATTTTTATTTATTTTCAGAAATATGCTGAAATCGGTTCGTCAAGACGAGCGCGTTTACGTATGCGATTTCTCTCTGCTAATCTTCGATGAGGTTCATCACTGTACGAAAGACCATCCTTACAATATTCTCATGCAAATTGTGCATGAATACACGGGAACAAAGCCACAGGTGAGTCTAAGATTTGATTTCTCAACATTCATTCAAGTGACTCCGCTTTTAGACGATGGGTCTCACAGCTTCGTTAGGAATAGGTATGGCTACTAGTGATGAAAGCGGAATGGGCTCTATCTATGAGCTAATGGCAAATATTGGCGCTACATCATTAGCAAGTGTAAGACGACATTTGGAGATACTGGAACAATATGTTCCGAAGCCTGTTGATAGTGAGTTTGCAGGTGTAAACAAAATAGAAGAAGCACAAAATTCCCTTTTTTAGCAACGAAAAAGGTTGATCGTCCAAAAGAGTCGCCTTTTTTGCGCACGGTCATAAATATAATGGAGAGGATACAGAACGACTTGGAGCCGTCATTGAAGAAACTTACACAGGAGAACCTGTCTGGTTACAAACTAACCAGGGTTAGTTGATAAATGCTAGGATAGGTGCTGTAGTTATGCTGTCCATACCGAAGTATTTTTTAGGAAGAAGTGAAATTTGAAGATCCGTTAGCCACTGAAAAATATATACAAAAAGTGAACACGCTGGCAGCAACGCTGGGTAAAATTTCCAATGGAGATTTCAAATTTGAACCAAGTATTGCGCTTGAGTATCTTGGTGTAAGTAATTTGTAATTTGATTACTATTTTGGCAAGTACAATAGCGCTAATTATAGGTTCTCAGTCAAGCTATCTCTATTAATGATCTGATGCCAGCTAAATACGCTTTAGAATATTTGCAAAAGAACCTCGAAGAATTGAGCAAGAAATTTGAAGGACCATGTTCACAAAAATTCTTTAAATTTTACCGTGAGAAACGTGGTAAGACTTGTAGCGGTAGTGATTAAAGTGTGAACAGTTTTATGATCTAAATTATACTCGTTTCAGACATACTACTTAGCTCATCTGAACAGGAACGTAACAAGCCGATTGTGGATGCTTTAGAGGTAAGCTAACCCGAAAATGATGAAAACAGGAACACGAATTGCCACGTTCGTTCAATTCTAGACAGAATTGAAGAACCAATTTGCAAAGGATGCCAATTCACGAGCTATTGTATTTGTAACAAGGCGATCTACAGCTGTGGAGCTGATGAGATATCTGAACACGGAGAGGGTGCTGGGCAAGTCAGATCTCGTTGGATTTGTGACGAGTAAGTTGAAATTTTGTTCGAAGCGTTGACTTACACTATACACTGCTCTGTTTAAGGTACTTCCAAGAAAAATAGTGAATATGGACAGACCAAAGAAGAGCAGCAAAAAGCTTTGGATGATTTCAATCGAGGGAAAAAGAAGGTAGGTGATTGCCTAGTCTCTATTTATTGGCACTACAGTGATCTTCCTATTTTTGATTTTGAAAGCTTACTTCATAGGTTATCATCGCTACATCAGTTGTTGAAGAAGGTCTTGATGTCAGTACTTGTAATTTGATTATCAAGTACAACAGTTCCAGCAATGCTGTACAGAGAGTTCAACGACGAGGTTAGCTTACAGTTTCATTTTCTTTACTCAATTAGTGTGTCCAGAAGTTATTTGTGTCACTGGTCGTTCTCGTTGCTTTGCTCTTTTAGTTTCTTTTTCTTGTTCACTACCCTCAATTTTTGCATATATTCGGTTATTGTCGGGGTTTTCTTCACAGAGTTATCTCTACTTGTCTCATAATCCTTGCGCATATACAACAACGTCGCATCAACTCTAATGATTACCCTTTTATAGGAAGAGCTCGAGCTCGCGACAGTCGCTCCATTCTTATTGTTTTGTCCGAAAATGTTGCCCAAACTGAATATCAGGCGATCATGGCAGAGAAGATCATGAACAAATGCGTGAAACGCATTCAAGAGCAAGGCGAAAAGGCTTTAGAAAAGAAGGTAAATACCTATAAGCCGATACCAGACCGACTTCTCAATATATTGATACTGGCTACTTACAGGTGAAGGAAGTGATGGAGAGACAAGCAAAAGAACGTAGAAAGATTGCCGAACATAAAATGAAAGCTCAGGAAGCGTTGAAAGATAAATAGTGAGTTTACGATTTTTCTAAAAGATCCAACTGATGAAGACCAGTTTTCGCAAAAAAAAGCATCAACCTTCCAGCTTCACCATCCGCTGCAAAATTGACAGTCAAGATGTGTGCGCTAGTACTTTTGTCCGCACTATCAATGGATCCAGCTATGTTTGCGTTGATCCAGAGATTTGGAGTCGCATAAAAATCAAAACCAAAGAGATTTCGACAAAGGTATAACAAAGATCAAGGATCCACTTATTCAAGACAATATCTAGATGAAATTTGTTGATGAAGTGACTCAAATCTTGGCCGAAGTACACTGCCGATGTGGACAAACGGTTGGAACTGTCATGAAATATGCGTAAGTTTGATAGTTCAGAAAGGTTTGGTCTAGGATATCCATGTAAATTTCCAGTGGTACATATCTCCCAACGCTGAACATCAGTAACCTGATGTTCTATGAACGAATCGAGGGAAAGGATGCTCCTGGTGAGCCGATCAGTAGCTGGAACAAAGCCAATGAACATTTCTGGATACCGGAAGCAAATGAGAAAGAATTGGTAGAGTTTAGACTCTTTACTTTTTCACACGTTTACTGATCAAGGAAAATGCTTATACTCGTATTTCAGCGTCAAATGCTACTCTCACTCGCCGAGGACAATGAAAACAAGATTGTCTTGGACGTAATGAGTGACAAGATGATCGCAGCTCAAGAGAAATTGCTTGAAAAAGAACGTAAGAAGAAAGAACCAACCGTTCGTGTCAAAACAGATTGGGAATAGGATCCAATTCTCCCAAGCATGAAGGATCTGTCTTTTCATTAAGGGTATCAATTTGCTTTACGGTTTTGGCCTTCCTTGTTTGCAAATTACAATAGTTCTGCTTTTTTTTCTTGAAGATCATTATTGTTTTTCTTGTTGGAGTAAAGCTGACGTTACTCATTCGTGGAAGGAATTTCAGTCAGGGGCCGTATCCATCAACAAAGCTTGAGAGTAAAATTCACCCTTGAGAGCAAAGCCTGGGGGTATGAGTAAATGTTGGGTTGAAGAACCTTTTACAATGTTGTTATATTTTATTTTAGAAGAAAGTTCCTTAAGATTTGCAGAAGACATGCAGGAGGCATAATGCGTAAGATGATGGTACCCCAACACTGTACAGATGTTGGTATGTTCCCCTTTACCAAATCCCCATTTACCTCCATCCAGCTACCCATAGGGCAAAATTAAATTCAACACCCGCCTTTACTGAAATTTTCAATCACTGATGAATGTTCACATTATCACTGCTGAAACAAGCCCTCTTCACAGTACCTGATAGCCCGTTTATTACACCACGAGATGTGACACCTTGTCATAATCTCAGGAAAGCATCCTCAAGTAACATCAGCTCAACAGTGAATATGTACAAACATGTCAAAACTTCGGTTAGAGTGCAAATCGCTTCACAACGGGTTCCTGAAACGAGCGCAAATCCGTAGTGAGTAAGAATGCAAAGCATAACTACATGCACATGCGAGTAAATCTTACCTCCTCTTCCCTTTTCTGTGGTTTTTTAGCAGCCGTCCGAGCTCTTTCGAGCGCTTGTTCCAGAAGTTCGGTTTTCTTCTTTTCTGTTTCCAAGATATTCGAGATACGAGCGCTGAAAAATCACAGTTTATCTATGACTTTAGAGCATACAAGAGAGAGTGGTCACTGGTGCTGATAAATATATTGAAGTAAAAACTTGTTCAATATGACGTGATATCGCATTTTTTCAAGGTTTGATAACAAATATGGTCGGGTCACAGATTACCGCGAGGGCGGCGCAATGTTCAACCGATGTTCAATTTATCAGCAATGCGTCAACATGGATGACCGCACCGCCGATACGCTCGCACGACTGCTCCCTCGCCAATTTGTGAGACGATATTCAAAATGAAGCAAAATTCTCTGTTATGTTTTTACAAAGTTAATTGTTTGAAGTAACAAGACGCACTGCAGCTATGTGCGGAAACAATCATGAAAAAAATATACCGAAAAAAGCTGTACTTGTAGAACTAAGCGAGTGATACGACAAAGAAGTAAAAAAAATTTGGTACCAGAAAATGACAAAAACATACTTGATACCGAGATCCACTTCAGGTATACCAGCTAACATATGTTCAGAGAGCAATTCATTACTTGCTTCACTACGGAATCCTTTTAATTTCATTGCTGCCCTCATCAGCACGTCCGAATCCTGAATTGATAAGATTAGTGCGTTAAAAATTCAGTAGAGATTGTAGATGCAAGCTATCTTACATCCATCGGAGTATCTTGCTTCTCAGCAGCGCTGCTTGTTTCACCACGTTCTCGTCGCAAGCCTTGGTCAATAAACTTTCGTAACTCTTCATGTTCATCTCGAAGCATAGTTTCTTTTTCGAACTGCTCTCTAAACGGTAGAGATTATAAAAACCATCCTCCACTGCACAAACCCGGGTCATTTACCTAATGCCAGCCTCTATTCCAGCCGCTTCCATGCGTGCTTTTTGCTTGCCCGTCAAGGCCATCGTTCCGCCAACCATTTGTATACCGTCTTCAAGTGCAGCAGCCTAAATTTTTAGTGATAAGAGGGGAGATCAACAGTGGAATGCTTCCAAAGCCAACCTTTTCTTTTCCAACAGCACATTCTATTTCAGTGAGGCCATTCTTCCTCTCACGTGACCTCTGCAACTCTCGTATATCATTGATGCGACGTATCTCATCTAGAAAATCAATATTTGGGTCAAGAGTGGTTTTTTTAGAATACTCTGCTGTTTGAAAATATGATCTGAAGACACTAAAATTCCACAGCACAATACCGCTAATGAAGCTGCCAATACTCAAGTGCTTTTCACGAACTAATTTCGCAGACAAGAAATCTCTCAGATTCTCCACTAATCCGACCCCTTAAATTGTTCTTTCTTCACTTGAGACAGCAGTTTCGTATAAGGCAGCCAACAGACGTTCCAGGTATTCAAAAGAGCGTGACTGAACTGCCGTACAAGCGGCCACTCACGTACCGTTTACGTACGGTTCACTTATTCCGTCATCAACTTTTGCCCAATACCGTATCTTTCCTAGCGGACGCATCTTCGGGTACGGTACTGGGCAAATTCGTTTTGGAGCTATGCATAAATTATATGAGATGCACCCGTGCAGCGGCTTGAAGAGGCCCCTCAGTCAGAAGTCTAAGTGCCCAGTCCCCAACATTATCTTTATGCACCCATGCTTGACGGATTTGAGTCATCTCGTCTTTACAAGCGATTTTCATCACTTCTACCTTGTCTCCCACATGAAGTGCAGTAGGTTACTACGGCGGAATCCCCTTTTCCCTCCCCCCCCCCCTGAAGTAGAAGTGGTCACTAAATTTTTGAACGTTATTAAGATGAATTACGAAAATAATGTGACTCGGGTGCCTCCAAAAAACACAGCTTCCTGCCTTTCCCTGCCAACTATCAATTTTTGAGCTTCAAACGAAATTATGGCGCAAAATTGATTTGGTGTGTCACAGCATTTAATATTCCACAATCATGAAATCAATTTTGAAGAATTTTCATGAGATTTTGCAAAATAATCTAACCATCATCGCTTTCATCCTCATCCATTCGTCGCCTTGAATGAATCTTCTTTTTGGGCTTAGTGAACGACATTTCCACTAAACTCAGTTACTTTTTTGTCTCAATCGAGGAACGTAACAAGCATTAGAAGATATTCAGAATTATAACTAATAACAAAGATCAGAAATTCAATGTACAAGTCAATAATTTATTTATAACAAGCATTCCACAACCCTTCTTCTTGAAATAAGAAGAATTCACCGAAATCTTCGATGGCTAAACTATTATGCACTCACAAATCTAATTGATAACATAGGAAAACTATCATCACCTAACCGGAATCCTATACATGTTAATGCAATCAACAATTTCGCATATAATAAATTTAACAAGAATCAGTTTTTGGAAATCATCCGCGCATTTTGAGAGAGAAAATTATGATATTTTTTTTGTTAAGGCACATACACAAAATATATCACCACATATCACAGGGGACTAAAAATACTGATAATTTTGATGACGTCACAACAATAACATCACTGTTCACTAGAATCTTGTACTGGCAAAGAGTTGAGTTTGTCCAGCTTGTTCGATTTTCGCTCGGAGAAGGGCACAGTCATTTCGTAGGCGGACAATTTCTGCTATTAGTGCAGCTCTTGCCGCTTCTTCTAATACGCAACGTTCACGCCAAACCTGGAAATAATATATTTTTTGAGACTCATAAAAGAACTTACTTTCATAGTATGAGGTTTTCAAAATGTTAGATGTCATTTCAACTATAGGTGAGTCATCGCATGCAGAGACAGGGCGCGACTGCGGACACTGCCGTCGTCTCTCTTATCAAGCACGCTGTGATCCCTCTTACCGTCTGCCTTCTCTTCCAAACAATACTATCTCATTCGCCCGCAATGCATGCTGTCTCTGCACGACAAATTGGCCTATTTTCCACCAAACCTTCCTGACTGAAAGAATGAAAAAATGCAATCCTACCTCCTCGGACTCTTCATCCAGCGCTTTGTGAGCATCGCTACTAGGATGTTCTTGCGGATCTTCTGCAGGTTCACTGTTGGCTGCTTTGCTTTGTCGAAGTTTCCAGCATAAACGAGCTATGCGTCGCTTTTCCTCCAGAATGTCCTGCCGTAACATGCTCTGCACAGCCATCAGCTGTTTTTCTTCGAACATTTCAATGCAAGGTTTGTCATTGGATGACGGACTTATCGTGGATGGAGTGGGCTCAGCCACCGCCTGTAACGGAAGAAATTTGATGGTTACCTACAGGCACAGGCTGGGTTTGACGCTTGAAAGCACCGTCCACCCAAACCCGAAATTGGTGAGATAATGGATGCATTACAATAGCAAGGTACCTAATTAAGTAATTTCCCAAGTTCCGCTGCATAAGGCGCATTTCGAAGCAAGAAAATCGCTTCAGAAGATAGATGGTGCTAGGGTCGTCACGCCCATCAACGTGGGTGGCCTAAAGGTAATGAGCCTGATAGCTCAGTAGTACCTAGCGATGGCGAAGACCAATGCATAAATCTTCGACAATTTCAGGTACTCTGGAGTCAGCACCAGGCTCATTACTTTACACCATCCGCGTTAATGGGAGTGGCGACCCCAGCACCATCCGCCTTCTAAAGCAATTTTCTCGCCTCGAAATGCACCTCCTGCAACGGGACTTAACTAGTTACTTAGTTAGAGCCTAGCTGTTTTACTGCATCAAAATCTCGCCATCCTTAGAATTGGGTAGACTTTGAATACGCTGCCGCTGACTGACAAAATTTGTGCGAGAACATCAAGCCCGCAAATGCCGGCAACTTCTTTGTGGATTAAAAATGACCATAGAGCGCGCATTTTTACAAGGACACTCTATAAAGCGTCAGATCTACTGGATCACATACTTATTAGATTCATAGAGAGAAGAAACTTCTAATAAAGAATTGCAAACGCTCTAAACAAATCTAGAGTTTCGACTAAATTCTAACCTTATAAGTGCACATGATCGTCGAAGGGCAGAGTGTCAGATTCAATTTACGGCAATGTACTGATCAAGAACTGGAAATGGATACTAATCACTAACCTTCAGTCTTCTTTTCAATGCTGTAATTGCGGTCTGTACACCCCATAGTTGAGATTCTAGAGAAGATGCATCACCGCCAGCGTCCGTAATAGCAGTGGTCTGAAAGTAGACCATAGGGTCATAATTTCCAAAGGGTTTGAAAATCATAGTCAAATTTTGCAAAGGATTTTTAGCAAAGTTTTAGGGTGAAGAAGAAACACAAAAAATGGGAAATATCGAAAAAAAACATGGGACATCAACGACTTGACGAAAAAAACTTAGAGTTTGCATCTATTATCCTCCCCTCCTCTCTTCCCCCATGCCTAAATTCCTCCCCATCATCGTAATTCATCCCAAATGTTCACTGATACGTTATTGCGCTATCGCCTTCCAGCTCATTTGCGTATCATCACAACTTTCGATTCCGCGCGACGTTCCCGATTTCGTGAATGCCACTGAGCAGTACGCAAATTCTCAAAGATCCCCACAAATTGCAACAATCAATCATCTACAAAAACGCTGGCAATTAGCCAAAGACGACGGACATCGGCCGAGTTCTTCAGACAAAATGCCTACTGCAGAAAAAGATGTCACGACTCAGGAATAAGAGAGTAAACTCTTTCAAAAAAAAAAATAAGAAAAGATTACTGTGTGACTCCCGCAAGCCGCCCATCTTTCGTCACAAATTCAAGATACCAAGACTTCAAAAGAAAAACACCCATCAGAGGTCTCACTTGGCATCAAGCCAGAAAAGAAAAGAAACGAAGGCCAGCTGCTGCATAGCAGTGACATTCTAGTTTTTAAGCACTCTCACCTTCTTTATCTATTCCAAATGAAAACTGGTCCTCAACTTTTCCAAACCTCTGCTTATACACCAAAAAAGTATTTGAACACAAAATCACTTTGAAAACTTTATTCGCGAATTTTCTCGAAAAACTTCACCAAAAAGACGCTCTCCTCTTCTTTTTTTGTTAGAACTAAAGCGACACTGCGAGAACTGGTCCCCAAATTCTCCACAACTTCTGCTTGTGAAAAGAAAGCACCTCAATTGAAAATCATTTTGGGACTTAGTCCGCAAAATTTTTCGAAAATAGGTTTTGAGAAGGCACATCTCGTTCTTTTGTCAGGTTTACTAGAAGCTGCACAGCGAGAACTAGTCTCCGAGTTGTTCACAACCTCTGCTTACATAAGAGAACAGTAGTTCGACTTAAAATCACTTCAGAATGTATTAGCTGTTTTACAAAAATTTGACCAAATGATAAATGAACTATCCAGATTACGTACGCTAACAATTTTTGAATCCTATTTGGATTCTAAATGAGGCTACTTACTCCATTATTCCACAGGAAATAATCAAATTACGAAATCTCACGCAAGGCTGTCATAAATTTGAAGCCCATGTCTTAATTTACGATGTGCACGCAAGCAATTAGCTTTTACCCTTTCCTTTACCCGCCCCTCTCCCCCCCCCCCCTCCCCCTTTTCTTTCCCTGAAAACTACTCATACGTCAGCAATTACGTTTCAGCGTGTGTCCATGTGCGTTACGACATTCACGGAGCGTTTACTCATATCACCGCCATCTTACATTAGAGACTTCGGCGTCAGAAACTGACCAGGACCGGATCATCTCTAATTTCATTTCAACCCAGCAAGGAATCTGCACATCTCAGCATTATAACGAATAATTACAAAATTATTGATCAAAGGGTCCTGCTTCAAAGCACCAGAAAAATAACCAAAAAAGTTCAGAACTACGCGAACATACTTGTTCATTTGATTAACGACAAACGTTTCCAAGAAATGAAAGCGGACCAATAAATTCTCTCCCATTCACTGCCCTTGAAATGAAGTAGACCCCCTTTCACTCAAATCACCCTTTCTTGGAAGTAAACTCGTACAAGATGAAATTTATGGCCGCACTGGCTGTTGTTTAAGTCTCACTTCAATTACGTAGCAACTGGACGGTCGTAATCGAATTGAATGGTAAGAGTTAGAAAGAGAATTACCGGTTTTGTTGACCAGGACTCGTTCAAAAGGCGACTAAAAAAAGGGTCAATTAATCGAATAAGCAAAAATCAACGCACAATTAATAAATGCTATTGTTTTTTGTAAAAATCATTCAATCTCTCAAAGTGTTGGAACAAGCAAAACGACATTAGTGACTTTTTTCGAGAGCTTATCGCGCTCTAAGATGGAAGCATGAAAGCATTTACAGATAGGAAAAAGTCAATAAATGGTGCAAGCATGCTGATAAATGCAGAACAATTTTTGAGCAAAAAGAAAGAATGCGGAAAGGATATATCAAATACCCAAAAAACTTTCACAAGTGGAAGTTTTTACTCACCTGTCGATGAAGATAGGCTAAGAGATTATTTTGTTTATTAAGTTCTTCTTCAATCATTGGTTTATCTTCACACAACCATCCTTCTATGTCTGCAGCAGCTTTTGGTGGCACATACCTAAATACACAAATAGTCAAAAATAGACTGGGTACCTCATAATGTGACATTTTTAGCTTGTTATGCGGTTCAAATGTCAACATAAAACATGAAGAGATACGCCGAAAATAGCAAGCATATAAAAATAGAAGTTATACTAGCTCGCAATGAACAAGCTTCAGAAATTTCTCATAAAAGACTCAAAAAATAGATGTAAATTTTATCACCTATAGACCAAAAGAATCACCAAGATTCCCTGTCACATGAAATATGGCCACTAGAAATAAGCTTAAGAAGAAAAGTAATTAGCTGAGATTTGGGTTGGTCGTTTTTCATTTATCAGATGTGAAGTCAGTCTAATCAAATCAACCGACTGGTTTCTCGACGATATATTCGCTCATTTCGCTCAGAAACAATTACATTTCAGGGGTCATAAACTTAACAATCTTCAGAAGAGCACTGAAGTCATGCGCGCTTGAGTATGAATTTCACTGGAAAATTCTGAGAAATATAATATTTGCAGATCTAAAACATGAATAAATAAATATAACACGATACTAGATGCTAAAAAACTTTACAATATAGTGACTGAAAAATTTCAAAATTTTCATCTCAATGAATCCGCTAAAGATAGGGTCCAGGCAAATTCTGCATCTGTATTTTACACGTGGACACAAACTGATGAGTTTCAATTTACTGCCCAAGCGGCAGCTCATATGAATCATTTGTAGTCGAGTAATCCAACTCTAGACCTCTAGCCCACTACCGTATTCCTTCCGAGGAGAAAATCAGCAGAGTACGGTAATGGGCGAGAGTCTAGAATAGGAGTTTTTGACCATAAAGGATTATATGAGCTCCCGCTTGATAAATGGCTCAATCAAGGCCTCCCAAATGGCTCTCACATGAGAGATCCAAATATACAAATTTGCCTGAAGATTGCCTTTGAGCTTATATTTTTACTGATCTACTAACAATATACCAAAACATGACGCAGCACGCATTTCAGGAAAAATGCAGCCTTCCGACCCCACTCCCTCTCCTTTACCCACAGATCATATATGAATACAATAGTGTGGACAGTGGTCGTTCATACAACTTGCATTCGTCACACGGATGACGTGGCATTTGGTGAAAAACAAAACGGAGCGGCATTTTCCATTTTTGGGTCTGGTTTAGAAACTAGGCTTGAAAACGTAAAAAGTCCGCATCATACCATCTTAGCAGGTCATTATATAAGAATGTCATTAAAATTCGAAAAACCTAGGACTTTTGCTGAAATGCTAAGTTAATTTTTATCATTATCATCAAAAGCACTACGTCTGTTGCGATCCACAGACCTCAAAAAAAAAACTTTGTGAATAGCTTACATAACTCTCAAAATGTAAAAATCTGTGTAGAGCACGAATTCGCCCCACTTCATGAGAACTCACAATTTTCATTGTGTGCTCTCATCTCGCACATAAAATACTCAATCAGTAAACATTTGCCAATCTCACCTCTAACAAACAACCAAGAGCAAATTCATGGAAAAAGACCGCGAGAACGCAAACATAGATCACTTTTGCGCAAATTTACTATTTTAACAGTAAAAATTCGGGACAATTTCCACTTCACCGCTCTCACTTCACAAACGCAAATCGCACACACACGCTGTATGCATAGCGAAAGTCTAAACGCTGTTTTAAAAACTCGTAAAGTGATGGATTGCTTGTCATCGATGTCAGACATTTAACCGGTAGATGATTACAATGCACACGGAGAGGACCGGTACAATTAAAGAGCAAAGGAGTTTGCTGTTACGATGACTGGTTGCTTTCACAAAAACAATTAAACTACAACGTTTTGATTTAATTCTTACTGTAAAGCAAAAAGTTACCTTGTGGAACATAAATGATTGGATGACACAACTCTCTCAGTCTCCCACTTGCCCAAGAAAAGTCAAGAAGAAAAGCCAAGTTTGCGCTGAACATGAAAACCAAACTGGCTATTTAGCCGAAGTTGTTTAAACTCTCAAGTGGGCAGTTAGATATAGCGGGGAACTAGATTATACCAAAATGGTTCTAGCATGTGTTGCTAGCGGGAAGGGGGGGGGGAGAGAAGGAAGTTGGAAAGTAAGGGGAAGAAAGCAGCGGCCGACTGAAGGGGGAGGGGGGAGTCAGTATTTTGTAAAATCTGAAAGTATCCTATGCATCGCAAAACTATGCAAAGGACATGTTTACTAATTGAAATATTTTTGAGAGCAAAAAAGACACCCTAAAAAGTTTTGAAGGTGTAGCCAACTACGCGCCCCTTCATGGGAAAAAAAATATGTCGCCCCACTCACTAAAAATATTTCGGACCGCTATAAGGAAGGTGTTGGGAAACGGAGGAGAGAGAGAATGATGGACGACTTTCTGTGTATCTATATACAGAACATGTTATCCTCAAGCTAACCCAGAGAACAACCAACACTCAATGCCTAATTTCTACCCCCCCCCCCCCCTTCCCAATCGCTTTCGTCTTCCGAAAATTGAAAAGGTCTCTACAAATCGTCAAACTTTTTGTTTAATCAAATTATTTGATTCCAAGCGGAAGATCTTAAGACTGAGATTCATGAAAACACATCGTTTCAGTGCAAATTGCAAAAAAATGTTCGGGCAATGCACGCAAAGAGCGATAGAATTCACTGTACTATGACGTACCGTATTAGTAGGTACCTTTTTCTAAAATGCATTTTGCATGAAACGAGGCACAGCACTAATCCTAACATTATAGATAGATGGATTTCATACATCGATTCTGCCGATGTGGCAACCTGATTTTCCCTTTTGGCACACAAGTACATGTGTCCGCAAAGAAAATCTCTGTGCTCAAATAGATAACATCATTAGTGTCCACGATGCTATCGAAGTAGCTGTGGGTGCAAGTGCATGACTAGGACTTTGCAGAGACTTATCGCTGCGACATTCTATGCCACACACACCGCAGCTTTCCGCGAATAGGTCGCTCATTGGAAGCAGCGTCCACCCAATCCGAGGGTGCTGAGATTTCGATAGGGTATGATAGCTGTGCACCTGACTCGGTAATCGCTCAAGTCCCGCTGTAAAAGGTGCATTCCCAAGCGAGAAAATTGCTCCAGAAGATGGATGCTGCTGGGATAGCTACGCCCGCCAACGTGGGTGGTCCGAGAATACAAGTCCAATTGGCTCGAATGTGTCCAAGGTTGTCCAAAGTCCGATAACCATGAAGAAGGGCGGATTTCAGACCATTTTAAATATATTGAAGCCCTGTTTTAGACTTGTATTTTCAGACCACCCACTTTGATGGGACTTTGATGGGCGGAGCAACCACCGCCGCTTCTACGTTCGGGAGCGATGGAGCGATTTTCTCAACCCTGATTACATCCTATGCAACGGGACTTGGGCGATACTTCTCTGGGAGGGCATCGCTATCGTACCATATCAAAATCTTACCATTCTCGGTTCGGGCGGAAAGTGCCTTCAGTTACGGAGACTCATAGGCCATTTCACTGCCAGTGTACTTTACGAGCGTTGTGACGACAGACACATCAGAAACACACCTATATGTTTCTGGATGTGTGTGTGCCTCTGTTCTCTTCGCAATGTCCTCCTCGGACGTGGTCTCTCCAACACACGTCTGTGCTGGTGGTGCGCAAGCGACGAACGAGATCAGGCTACCGGCATGGGGCGTGGTCACACCACCCCAATGGGGACACCAGCGACAAACACCGCGCACGAGCTGCCAATCCTTGAGACGACCTAATCACACTCGTATTCGTACTTGCATCATACTACGGCCATTCATTCTATCAATTAATCACTATTCGCTAATCGATTTATCGATTGATCACCTACTGTATGCGGTGGTTAATCGCCTTGCTCGTGTTGCTCATTTTAGAGCCACGGGAGGCGAAACAGCTTAGCGCCGTGCCCGGCTGTCCGGATTTGGACGTGCTAGAGGCTGAAGTTGAAACCAGCCCCGATTTTCTCAATAATCTTCTGCTCTGCTTTTGCAAGGTAATGCACTTCTTTGCATTTCGATTACTTTTTTTCTTCTTGCGCCATCTCGAAATCTTCTCTCTTATTCACTCAGAGAGGGGAGTGATTTTCTTTGTCTCTGCCATTGCTGGACCTTACTTGGTCACAATAATGTCCTGTTCATGACTAGTTCCATGCATTTCAACTTCTATATCGCTCTTTAGATACGAATCATTGTGTTTTTCATCTCTTTCTTCCTTCCAGTCCGATTATAGGAACTCTAAATCTTCCCATTCTGGCATAGCTAAAGACTTGAAATTCAGCCATATTTGAGAGGTCTGGCGCACATAAATGATGGCCTTAAATCTCGAAAGTATTCATTCTTTTGAAATCTTTTTTTTATATAAAAAATCATCTTCACATCCTCTCCTCTGGTTCATCGGAACCACTTAAATATCCACTTTACGCCATCTCTGTCTCATTCATATTGTATCCACCACAATTGGCCTTATTTGAATCTAATTTTCTTGTCTCTACGTCAAAAACACTACGCCAACAGCCTTGTTCAGATCCAACCAAAGGACAAAGTTGACATTTCCTGTCTGTATGGATCGAATTTGGAACATCTTCAAAAGGCCACCGAAGCCGTACGACAAGCGAATTTAACCACCGACAAGGTGATCGATGCGAAGGCCACTATTAATTAGCGCTCACCACAGATGTGTAGTCCTCGTGGCTGCATAATAAATCAAGCACTTTCTCTCTGCAAGAAGATTTTTCAACCTTTGCAGATCAGTTTCCAACATATTGAGTTCGCTGAGACAGGACTACCGCCTTTTGGCGAGTTGGCGCCAGCTCTGACTACTCTCGAAATTCGAGAATGCACAAATTTCGACCCTCTAGTGATTCCTGAGAACACCTTTAAAGGTCTGGAGACTTCATTGAAGAATCTCACCATCGATTCTTGCAACTTGAAGGTGAGTCATACTGGCCACAAAAGTTTTCCTTGATCCACTACATTCACCAGCCGGTTCAGCGCCGATGTACGCTGGCCTTTGCGCAGTCTACACATATAAAAAAACCTGCATCTCATGCACATAAACACCTGCTTAGACCCCACAAACTGTTAAGAATGGGAAACAAGGGAAAAAATCGATTATTTTGAAAATTTTCAGGAGATTCCTGAAGGACTCAAGGATCTGAATGCGCTCGAAACGCTCGTGCTAGCCAATAACAAATTCGAAAATGTTTCAGCAGATGTTTTCAGTGGGAAGAAGGAGGTATGTAGACATTTCAATATAGTTATTCGTAAAAATAAGATTTTGGTCCCAACACAATAAAATTTTTGTTACAATTTTTCTATTTGATGTTTTTTCCATCTTACACTCAAGAATATTCATCCTGTACAATCTCGAAACTCATTCTGTACAATATTTTTATAATTTAGAACAATTTTTTTCTATGCTGCAAATTTAAGACCTACATTCTTTGAGCTTTTTCTTTTTGTTGTGTTTCTATTTGCGGATCATATTTTCTCTGTTTTTCCACATTTAGTCATATTTTCTTCCACCTTTCCAATAATTACAAAAATATACTAAATTCTCCCGAAATAGTCATAAATGTCCTTTTTCCTCCACAAACAAACCCACCGCGATAACAACATTTTGCCAATTCTGTTTACCACTGATGTCCAATCAACGACCATTTTCTAGCAAAAACAGTTTAAAATAACATTACGGCGCGCCGTGAAAGCGTTTTATGAAAACACTATAAAATAGGTCAATTCTCGAACAATTTCTTGAATATCGAGTATTTCCGAGATTTGAATGAAATTCCCCAAAAACTCAAAACACTCAAAACGCTTCGCTTACGTTTTACTCGCAACGGATATGTACACTTATTGTGCTCGTTTCACTTTGACAAGGTAATGTACTCTTATGACCCTGACATGCGCTGTTGTACAGATGTTCATTTATTCTATAAAAGTCTTGTGAGGGTCATAATGGGGATCGAAAGGAAGGAAAAAAAGAGCTGCGAGTTGAGAGAGGAAGAGGTTATAAAATGTTTACTTTTTATCATGAACCACGAGAGAAATCTGATATTTATGCGGAATTTGATGACTGAAAAACAAGAAGAGATGGAGAAAGAAAGAGTTAAAGATATGAGAGAGAAAGAGATGAAAACGGGTGGAGGGTTGAGAAAAGGATATTTGGCATAGTTTGTTTCATAGGTTGTTGACCATTTATCGATGGCTGTATAGCAAAATTAAAAGTAGAGACAAGAGGGAAGGAGGACTGGGAGAAAAAAAATGACTCCTAAGAGTACCATAAATTAGATCTCATAGATTTACTTGAATTGTTAATTTATTATGGATGACTAAAAAGCAAGACAGAGATATAGAAAAAAGGGGGTAAGAGAAGAGGAGAAAAGACTGGGGAGGTTAGAGATTGGAAAATGCGAAAATTTATCCAGTAAAAACTTTGTATGACTTCAATCCTCGCCTCCAACTCCTTTCAAAATCGATAAATTATATTTTTTGGATAAATATGCGTTTATTTGGTCATTAATGGATTTCGCCATTGAGGATAAAATAGATGTACAGAAAATTGTACTACAAAATATAATTCGTAGAAAAAAATTCCTATGGAATACTGATTCCAAAATAACAGAGGATTTTATTTCGCAGGTTTGCGTTTGAACTGAGGGCAATTTTGACTGAATGTTTGTCTTTTATATTCTAGGAAATGTTTCTTCGTTCATTTCCCACTGTCCTCATTTCCACCTTCTTTCTCAACCATCCCCTCTTCGATCGCTTTCACTGATCCGTACAGATCTTCACATATCAAACGATCGAGTCGCATTGCTAAAGGTCGTCGCCTTCGTCACCCGACTCTTGTTGTACTTCAAATCGAACCTTGACGAAATCAATCAACTCGATCGCCTCAATTTGTTTTGACCTTGTGGGCTTAGGGGAGAAAAAAGCCAGCAGACACCAATGCGACACAACGACAACGCAATTTCGAGTGGAATTTTGCCATAATGTGTGGACAAATCCGAAACAAAATCGCTCGAAATCTTCTGGCTTTGTGACGCAGAAACGGGTCTTTACCACAACGATCATAGTAATCATCCGCGTGGAGAAAGAGTGAAAGCGGTCGATGACGGTGCGACTTGAAGAGTACTCAACGTTCAACGTTTGCGCGTTTTTTCTTCAACTTCAGCACAACTGGATTCATAACCGATTGCGTTACGTTTGGCTACAAATTGTACCCAATCATCTCGAGGAGGGGGAAAGGAAGAAAGGAGGGTAAGGGATGGGGGGGAGAGCAAGGACAAGGAAAACGTGCGAGTGGAGGTGGCCAATTTGGCGATATTTGGCAGCTATCGATAAGGTGAAAATAGTGGGAAACGGTTACCGCCATTTTGCCATTCAAAAATAAATCGATATACTACTTAAATTTTCAGTCCAAAACTATCGCGTTGTAAATTCCACAAAAATCCTACATCCGCAATCAAAATAAACCCAAAAATTTCATGTAATTCTCTGTATGACTCACTTTGCAACATAATTCTATTTTGAGGAACTGCAAAGTTGTTACAAAAAATCCTTGTTAGGAGATTAGGGTTCCAAGTGAGTCATACACAAAATTACATAACAATACAAAATGTAAGTGATACAAAATAACAAGCTGAAAATATTTTGATAATTTCGAACACAAATGTTTCATATTAAAATAACTGTTGAGCAGTTCAGAAAAGCTATAAAAATTACGGTAAATAAAATTTTGATCCCTTCATCACATGTTTACCCCTCACAGGTTTTTTTTCAGCTCAACTACCTCGATTTATCCGGTAACTTCATCACCAAAATTGAACCCGGCTCATTCGAACCGCTCAAAAAACTCGAAACTCTGATTTTTGGAGAGCATAATTACATCAATGACACGGTGCTCGATGCTATTACAACACTTAAATCCCTCAAGGTAGCACACATTTTGGCTCTGTGCCAACTTTTTCAAACGCTTTTCCTTTCAGATCCTCGACCTTTCTCGTGCTGATGGTATTTTCGAGCCACCTATGGAAATCTTTGACGCTTTGAATCAGTTAGAAACTTTAAAACTAAGTGGCTGTAGTTTACCTTCACTTGAACCGGGCGCTTTCGCTTCGTTGAAGAATTTGAAGCAGGTAACGTTTGATTCTCATAAAAAAAAACTTGCTCCGTGAGTGTCGAACAAACTTTACGAGACGCGTTTGACTCAGAACTTTGTATCTATGTTTCTCACGAAGTTTGAGTAAGTATGGGGGGGGGGAGTGAATGGGAAGGCACTATAGAAACATACTAACCCCTTCCAAATCTCGAAATTCTTACCTATAAGCTCCATTTTCACTCACTAGATGACTCCCATCTCTCTTCTCTCCCCTTCTCCCCCCCCCCCCCTGAAATTATTTCTCTTCGCTATATAAGCAGGTGTCTTTATGACTTCCAGTCCATTCTACTTTCACCTCATCCATGCATAGCCCCGACGAGCGACGAATCGTATATTTACTATAGGAAAATGAGGCGTGGGGAAAGATCGCTATATTAGATAGCCATATCGTTCCTGGCGCGTATACACAAAGGCAATGAGACGGAATGGTTATATATGTGCACAATATATTTAGAAAATTTCAATACCCCACCAAAAAATTAGGTACAGAAAGGGGCAGGAAGCCAAGAAAGGAAATCATTTCCCAAAAAATTCCCCCACTATAGTAGAGTAAGCGTCATGAAAGATTAAGGTCTAAATCCACCATCTTCTAGTCGAAAAGAAGAGATAATGCCCACCAATTTATTTCAGGATAAAAGCCCCCATGGAAAGTGCTTTCACTGCAGTAGGAAAATCATAGGCTTCGCTCGAGCTAAATCACTACAATTATTGCATTAGTTGAATGGAACCGGGCACCATGATGGGGCTCTACTGAAAGTAATCCATTCAAGTAATGGACAATACAATTCAGATCTGGAACTTCCTTCTTATGTTTAGCTCTATGGGGATCGGGGTACATCAGATCAAAGCGCTAGCGCTGAGCCATTATAAACATTTTGTATAAACAAAATTGCAGAAACGGTTAAACACAGGAATGAAATAAAAGGGAGAGGCTCGCTAGGGTAGATTAGCATCTTTGTGGTAAAATCAATCCTGTACTCAATATTCATTTCAAAAAATATTACACCCACTCAGCGAGTAGAAAAGTAAATATTCAAAAAAATCACAAATCTGTCCCCATCTCTTTCCTACTCCTCTTTCCCATATTTCGCCAAAAAAAATTTGTGAGAAAGGACGCAGTCGATATATAACAAATAAAAGATCTCCCTCATTCGTAAAAAATTGAGTGTCTCTAAATTCTCCAAGGTTCCGATTGCAGCTGTTATACTATATTGTACACCAACGAATCCTAACCAGTTCTAGCTCCTAAATAAAAAGTTGCAAAAAGTGCGAAAACTGTTTTTATGCACTCTTTGCAAAATTCCTGACACATGAGTCTTTTTTGCACTATGTGGCTGCAAAAGTGGCTGAAAAAATAGCAGTGTCCTTGGTTTGTTTCACAAAGAAATTCACTTTCCTATGTGGAGATTTCTTTCTCTAAAAAATTCCTGGATTTTTTCGGATTTCATCCCTTGGTCTAGCCATAAGCGTAACATTCCAATCCTATATTGACAATCGAAGAATTAATGGCTTCGACAATTCTGTTTGTTCTGCGCTTGATTCACCAAAAAATTGCAAAACATTTGAAAATGGATTTAAAGGCCGAGCATATCGGTACACCCTTTCCTCTCAAAATCAGCAATTTAGCTACCTTACAAGTTTGTAAGCAAAGTAACTTCCAAATTATTTATGAGCTTCTCATGACGATAACTAAATAAGACGATTTCATCTCCCAGAAATACTAATGAGCGCATGGACTTGAAGTTTCCGTTGCGAATGCGCTTGCATAACTGGAATGGAATGTTGACGTTCAATCCGAATAACAGCGTTCACCCCAGGGTGGCGGCGCGAGATTTACAAAAGATTCCAAACGAAAGTAGCGAGATGAAAGAGTCCAAATCCTGTTTACTTCACTCTTCACAGTAAATCCGCTAGAGGGGTGGAGTATTGAGAACGCACCAAACCACCAAACTTCCACAGGATAACGTAAGAAAGGAAAAATTTTAGATTTTTTCAGCTCGATCTTCGCGTAAATCTAATCGAAAACATTTCCGCTTATGCTTTTGATGGGCTCTCTTCCCTGACACGACTTTCATTAGCTGGAAATTACATAAGGTGAGTTGAACGTTGATATTTGAATTTGCATAATGACATCAGCAAAATCATCTTATGAAATTTTGGAAAAAGATTATTATTGGGGACAAAAGGTCACTATGCTTTCAAAAATTGTTCGAGAATGCTGTGATAGGAATGAGAATCCCTAATATGAATTTGGATGTAAAGTATGAAAAACAGTAAAACATCAAGAAAACTTCCAAAACTCAAAATATACAAGATGTGACGATTCAAGCACACTCTCTAAGTAGAAAAATCGCATAGAATCCACTCTGCAAATGCATATTATAATTAGGAAATAGTTATCTTCATACACTCTTCTTTGTTTATCTATTCAATTTACAACTTATGCTCGGGATGCTACAGAACTCTGTCGAGAAAAAAAATGGTTAAAAAATTACTAGTCCACCATCATATTATTTAGGTACCTCGAGAAAGATCTTTGGGCTGGACTCAGTAACCTTGAAGAGATTGATCTTGGTTGGAATGAAATCAAAAATGTAACGGAGGACATGTTCTCTCCCCTTGTTGATAAGCTTACTTCGCTTAACTTAAGGCATAATCCACTCAGTGCGGTAAGTGTGCATAACTAGCCTTTTAGAACCAAAACAATACGACTGTCCCTTTTTCAGGTCCCCACGACGGGTCTCAAGAATCTCAAATCCCTCTACTTGAGCGAGTGTCCTCTGACGACCATAAACTCAGAGCAATTGAAAGATTATCCGAAGCTGGAGGTAAGCTAAACTTGGAGCCTTCCTCATACAAAATAGCCATTCTTTGTTAGTTTATTGTTACCATTTAAGCCTTATATTTGTTCAAGACTCGAAACTCTAAATTTCCTGAAAATAATGGCTCTCGAGCGGAAAAAAAAGAGAAAGATGAATGTATCTTCCGTAAGATGGATATATTAGCTATCCCAGCGCAAGCAAAAAGCTGAAAAGCTTGACACATGCCGCTGTGATTGATAATAATTCTCAGCTCTTCTCAAATTTTAGATCATCTTTAGTTGTTCAGAGAACAACCAAGAATGCAACGACATAAAGAAACAAAATCTCAAGCTTCTCTTGCTTTCTCTGACAAAGATATAAATCCTCAATAGATAAGAGGAGCGCGAAGTTGTACATCATTAATCTTTTTATTGACGTTTCAAAAATTTTGGTCCCAGAATACTTCATGGTAAAGATGTAAACTGGACTTCTTGATTTGTATGAAAAGTAAAGCAGAAAATAAGAAAAGCTTTCACTTTCAAAAATCAACTCTAAATCATTTTTAACTCTACCCCCAAAAACATGTTTCTAGCGGCTCATCCCATCACAGCTACCATAAATCTCTCTACTCTAACGTTCCTTGACATCTCCGACAAACATTTCAGACATTAGACATCTCAAAATGCAATCTGACATCGCTGCCACCCGACACATTTGCCAATCAAAAGAATTCGCTGAAGACGCTACATCTTGAGCGGAACCAGCTTACTACTGTTGATCCAAAGGTCAGTCTTCTTAAGAAAATTTTGGCATGCTTTCTTGATTATTCTCCATAGATGCTATTGTCTTTCAATTAAATTGGATTATTTCCATTTGCGACTAATGTCCTTTCATGATATTTTGTTGAAAGTATAGATTTTCAATGAGTTCTCATCCAAAAACTCGCCAGGAATGACCGCGACTCTGACTCACTTGCTATTTTTGTTTTCCCATAGGCCTTTTTTCGCGGCACATGTGGTGCATATGGGCCCGAAGAATCGAACTAGCGTCACAAGATTACACATCCGCAGTCAGAACAGCAGCAGCTATACTCTTCTATTCAAATCTTGTTTCTTCTGTATGTGCATATCAAAAAGTCATAACATGAATCACAGAACATACTTGCATTCATCTCATTCCCTTCAAAAAAGCAAAAACCCAAAATTGCCCTAGTTATAAGCCAGTTAGAAAATTACATATTGAAAAAAAAGGTGTCCTGAACATTGACAGCCTCCATTTTTTCCAAACTTGCATCTCATCATAATTCAAAAAAAAAGAGCAAAAAGTTCCAAAAAAATGCTTTGCATCAGAACTATGCTAATATTTTGAATAGGTATCATCGTACACAATCTCTTTTGAAAAGTAAAACGTTGTCATCCTAGTGTTTGTTTAATGCTTTGCGTTTTCAAACTTTGTTCGACCTTATGACTTAGTCATTGTTATGTTTCACATGACATGGCCTTCAGGAATTCTTCCCCTATGAATTCATGACTTTGTTTATTTCATCTAAGCGCTACGTAGCTAGAGTTTTCGCAAATACCAGTGAGTCATATGTCCTTCGCTCACTATTTCGTAAGCTTCACAAATGCTCAAGCTGTGTCAAGTATTCTCAGTTCTCCTTTACGAAAGGAAAAACAAAGGGTCTCAAAGATAGATCTTCCCTTTCTATTTTTATTATCGCATTTCCTTTTTTTGTCTAAAATAACTGGGTACTTTGTCCTTAACGCCTCTAGACACATTTTAGCTTATAATTCTTGGGATCTAGAAGGTTTATCTACCCATTTCCGTCCATCTCCACTACTTCTGTCATTTTCAGATTCTCCAAGATCTTCCGCTCCTAGAGCATCTAGAAATCTCTGGCAATCCATTTATTTGCGATTCTGAGATTGCCAAATGTAAGTACTTAACTTTTTCATCGCGCTCAACTTGGCATACTGCCAATATCTGTATTGCAGTCATTTTTGCCGTCGAAGATCGCTACAAAACTTCGGCTAAGGAAGGCAAAGAATTCTTATTCGCTAACGCTAACGACACTCTTTGCGATCGTCCTTATACGCTGAGGAATCAGGCACTCTTGGACGTCGACAGCACTCTTCTTCAGGTTGAGAATCTCATCATATAAATCGAAATATAAAAAATTAAAATTCTCTAGCCCTACGACGAGAAACTCGACACCACCACTGCTTTGCCTACAACTACTACAGAAGCAGAACCCACAACTACAGAAATCACCACTCCCTTTACATTGGTCAGTGCTTAACATGTCAAGCGAGAACTGGTCCCCAAAAACCAATTCTCTTTGCAGCCCAACCTATTCGTCGGCACAAAGACCAACGAAACTTTGTTCAAAGAAGAACCTCGACAAGACGTTTACGATATAAATAAGGCTAACGATCCTAAAGACGCTATGGAAGAGCATGGAGGTATGGCATGCAAAAGCGCAAAGGTGTGCGATTCAAATCTCGCTGCTTCGCATCAATGACCGTGATGCACGAATTCCAAGCGAGAAAAAGCTGCAAATTTTACGGCATCGGACAGGTGTTGTGTGTGCGTCAAAGCTAGTGTTTATGAGGCGTGCATTAATTCGCACTCGTAAGTGTGACCATAGTTGAAAAACTCGCTCGGCATCCGTTATTTCTCGCACTTTTTTGCGCACACTCTATCATTTCGAAAGTGGTCAGACGACTTTGAATATGAACAGTTTTTTCAGCAACGAAGAGCTACGCTATGCACGCCACTGTAGCCGTCATTGCTGTCATTTCCGCAATCGCACTCATCGCTGTTGCATTGTTCATGAGGGTAAGAATCTTGAAGAGTTCAATTTTGATTTGTCAAGATAAAAATCATCGAAATGAAAACTCGTCCTTCGTAATATTCAATAGTTGTCGAAAAGAAGGAAGACAACTAGAGAAGACGTTGCAGAAAAACTGAATTCAGGTCTTTTACATACTACGGGCATACCTCGCGCGATTTATGTCCTCATGCGATTTGGCAATTTGCCAAATGTCTCCAAATACAACACTGGCAGGCTAGCAATGAACAGCGTGCATATTTCATAAATGTGTAGAACGTCCTATCTTTCGCTACATTTAGAATGCGCTTACAATGAGTTATAAATAGTTGGAGTATTGCCAAACCGCGTCGCGACTGAAATCGCTTGAAGTATGCACGAGGCCCTGGTCTATGGCAATTGGAATCCTTCACTTTGATATCATTGTAGATAACGTCTGTTGTATATCTCTTTTTGCATAATCATCAATCTTTCTCATTCAAAACAGAAAAGAAATGGAAGAGAGGAGGAAAAAATCATCTTAACCTAATATACTCTCCCTATCTTTTATGCATAAAGCACCCGCTAAGCTTACCGCACATGAAAACCTACTGAATTCTCCAGCATACAAGTACTTTTTAAGAAACTTTCTTTTCAGAAAAAACGAAAAATCGCTAATGAGGAGCAATCACGAAAAGCTAAAAAGGTCTCAAAACTTGAAGACGGTATGGTTGAAATAGAGCTTGACTCAAATGGTCCAAATAAACGATAATTCACAATAACATATTATACTGAATTTGTATGTATTGTTTTGTTTCGTAGAATAGTGACAGTTTTCACAGATTCGCTATATTATTATTTGCACATTTTTGTATGTTCCAATGCCCAGTTAGAATTGCCTCTACGCTCAATACAATTCGGGCTATATGTTTTAAGCCCTGTTCGGATCGAATTTCTGATCGTTTGACATGGTGCCTTGTTCAGTAAAAATTGCATTTTTCTGTTTTTCAAATAAAAATAATCAACTCACGGGACTATGGTCACCTCGTCGAATAAGTAGCCATTCTGAAAGTAAAGAAAGGAAAATTACAGAAAAGAACACCAATAAGCCACGCACTACCAACCTTCGGTGCATCTTGGTATAGTCGTCCACTTGCATTCACTATCAAGTAACATACTAGCTGCCTACTAATATCTAGAACAGTCTGGAACAGCAATCCCAATGCATGGATACCCATCTTGTTTTCTGATTCCTATGAAGATATCAATTTAGGGGAAGTTCTTTGAGATCAAAGTTAGGTCAACTCACCATTCTAATTACATTTTGCACATGCAAAAACATATAAGCGAGAAGATGAAACTGTGCTTTCCCAATGCGACGCAGCCGCTCTCTCATCTGAAGTAGGAAAATAAAAGCTATCTAAAGAAATAAATATAATCTGCTCTTTTTTCATTTTGAACAAATTGTAAATCGTAAGGTTGAAATCCACCCTGTACGACATAACAATGTAAAGAGGTCCTGCAACCGATCCAAACGAGCTTCTGACTTAAAAAATTTCTTTGATGAAAGCAAAAATTCTGCAGTTTTGAAAGAAATAGCCACCGATCGAAAAGTAGCACACACTTTCAAAACAAGAGATTCGAAAAACGAACTGCTTCTTATTTGCAAAGGGATGGAATAAATAATTCGAGCGAGCCCTACCAGCTTTTTTGGTGAGATAAAAGTAGATTTTAGACAAAGTTTGTACGGAAAACATTCTCGGAAGTAGCGCAGTGGCAAAAAAATTTTTGTCAGCATAAGCTGAACTATTGAACACTCACGATTTCCAGTAAAAAAATATGGGTCCAAACTCGCAAATCAATTGAGCACACTGACAACAAGTCTATATAGAGTTACAAAAATCCAGTAATATAAAAGTTCAGTTCAAGAAAAAAATTATTGAGAAGTGCAGAATAGTAAGGAAAATCGAAGAATATAGAATCAAAAAAAATTAAACAAAAACCAGTCACTTACCTTGTCACGTACAGCACACCGACATATACTTTTCCAATTACAAGCACACTCTTTCACAAGCATTTCAATGTCAGCTGTTAGAAGAGGTTCGGGAAGTTGTCTCAGAAACCTAAATGAGAACTTAACAGCTATTCATATCCCCACAAATAAGAAGGAAACCTTTTGATCAATCCTGCAGCTTCGTGACCTTCAACGAAGTTGAGGGGTGCGCCTTCATTCGCCTTTTTCTCTAGCTCATCCAAACGTGATTTCGGACTTGACACTCTATAGATTCCCTCAAGGTTCAACCCTGAAACCATCATGTATAAAACAAAATAAGATGCTCAGATAATACTTACCATGCGTCTCAACATAGTCGATAGCATTGCGAAAGAAGGCTGGCAATGGTACTCCATCTAGACTAGGATCTACCTCTACTGCGGTTTCAAGGGGAACACCAAGCACTTGTCGTAATGGCTACAATGGATGATTTACGAAACATCTGCCCTTTTATATTCTACTGCCAACCTCGAGCTCTTTGGCTGCAAAATCTTTGTCTATTTTTTCGGTGGTTTCATCCAGCTTCCTCCATTTTCCGATAATTTTCTTCGTAGACTTTCGAGAAACTCTAAATGAACTTACATAATTTTCATGAGTCCAGGAGATGATAAGACTTACAATCTGAGCCCTTTCCGTTTTTTCTCCTTCTCCAACTCCTCCACCATGCTAGGGCGACCTCCAGTGCAGAGCAACGTCTGCATGGGGTCATTTGAAAATTCAGTCGCAAATCGAACAATTGAAGTAAACAAGTATAATTGGAATGACCAAATTGTTCCAAGTTGACAAACAAAACGTTTGACTAACATTTATTTTTCACAGAGGATATAGTCGATTACGGTTGATTTGAACGGCTATTCATTACAAAATGAACTCTACATATAAGTGACAGCCAGACTGACATTTTGAGAACCTAGCAGGAAAAAATGAAGACTTACATTTGTGTAGCTGTTGGATCAAAGGTTCGAAGGTGTGAAACTACACTGATGGAGAAAAACAAAGCAGGAAATTTACCAACGCAAATTTTGGAGATTTGTCTTAACTAGTGTGGATATCAGACTCTAAATGTTGACGACAAAAAAATAGAATAATCACGAGTATATAATAAAAGATTAACATGCAAAAACGTTTGAACATTTGAAAAATTTACAACGAAAGCAAAACATGACTATGTCTGAGTAAATACACTCTATACATGGCGACAATGTGACAGGAGTACCACTGTAAGGGCAACCCACTAAAATCGTTCCATGAGTGCAAGCGCTTTACGCAAATTTTCGACAACTGCTTTGGTGTCCTCGTAGTCGATAGCGCTTAGTGCGTATTTGGTGAATTTGCGTGCCTCGTTGAACGCTTCAACCGGTGGTTTTCGATCTTCACCAGGACCTAAAACCATTCAGATACAAAAGTTGAAAGAAGAGTAAAGAAGCTTTCTAGCGGTATTGCTATAGTGATTATGAGCAATGACATCCATTCTCTCTCTCCAGGCAGACAGTTAACAAAAGAAGAAACCGCAGCGAGAAAAAGAAGCAAAAGGACTTGCCAATGAGCAAAGCTAACTGAAAGTGGAAGCTGTGTCAAGCACACCTACCAGATACTGATCCGCCCACTTCTGGTACAATCGTATTCATAGGTGTAGGATTATTGTAACCGTGTTGTGGGGCAGGAGGAAAACTGCCGGTACTGCCTGATAAATTGAAATTTATGGAAAATTCAAAGGAAATAACTAGTTCAAACATAGAAATGCGATGCATCTTTCTAAAACTAACCTGGTACATTAGGTAGACCCGCGAAACCATAACTAGGCTGGTGGTGAGGTGGCTGAGGGCGCTGAGGTTGTTGAGGTTGTTGAGGTTGTTGAGGTTGCTGTGGATGCTGAGGCTGATATCCTGTTCCTAGTTGGTTCTGTCCTCCTGGATATTGGAAACTTCCACTTGAATTTGTTGAACCGGATCCGATTTCCGGATAATGGTGCTCTACTGGTTCTGGAGGACCGCCCGCTCGTGGAGGTTGTGGAGCAGGGTTATGAGCTTCTGCTGGAAATGGGCTGCCATCGGAAGGTACATCATCTAGGACAGTTGGATTGGCAAATTATGTGGATGGACGAATGCCATCATAACAACAAACACAAAATCTGACGTTTTCCTGACGTACCCGTCACAAACACAAAAATTTTATTTCGGCAGAACTTTATCCAGGAAAAAAGGTCGGAGTGGGAAAGGAAGTCGTTGTGTACCACCATAAGCATAGGATCCCGGATTGCAGAAGGTTTACAATTGCGACTTCAACAAACAGGTTTACGGAGGGAAAGGGAGCGGTTGGTGCTCTATCGTAGCAAATATCAAAACGTGTAAAAATTCCAGATAATCACCAGAATGTTTTCTGATTAAAACTCAAGCAGGTCCAGACTGATTCCCACCCTGGCTTCACTTCTAAGGAAAACTCCAACGCATAAATGAATACAAAGATCTACAAGGCCAAAGTAACAAATTCTATTGATGAAAAGTTTCGGAGAAAAATGACCTGAAGACCAATCAAAAAGGATTTCCTCACCTGGACCTTGCTGACTGCTGGGTACATAAGGTGTTCCATCCTTCAAACAAGCAAAAATCTGAGTGCTCTTCCACTTAGCGTACTTTTTCGAGCTCAAAAAAGGCTCATCCACCTAAAATGTTCAAAAGACGTAGAAGTCAAAATGTGGGTATTATATATCTGACAGTTCACAAACCTCTCCAAACAACGACAGCACATCCATTACATGCCCTGCAGTATAGAAAGCATGCACAACGCTCTTGTCCACTTGGCCTGCCTTTTCTTTAGCATCGGCGAAATTGAAAAGTTTCAGCGCAAAATTCTCCAAATGTGCTTGTGCCACCACCTAAACTTCCCAGCTTGGATATAAAAGCCGATGAATCATGAACTAATACCTCATTTGTGACAGCCTCTGTTCCCGCCAGCTGCTTTTTGATAGCTTCAAGGGTGCTGAGCAGACCAGTAAGAAACTTTAAAGCTTCCGGTGAGCTCTTGTCCAGTTGCATAGCTGTTTGAACAGCGTAGAAAAGACCTAAAGTATGCTCTCAAGAGTGATACCAGAAACTTTTCAGCAGAAGGAACGTCTAGACTCACACCAATAGTAAACCACTGGATCGCGACTGGAATTTTCATTGGCGATTTTTATGTAATGTGCAATAGGTTTTAACGACGCTGGTACTTTAGTTGCCATTCCGGAAATTCCTAAAAAGGTATGCATTAGAGGAAATCACTGAAAACATCACAGCGAAGTTTCGAACGCCAACAATTGACCAAAATTTGAAAAGCAGGCCTAGCGACAATCAGTGAATAAAAACAGGAGATAAATAACTTTGCCATCATACAATCATCAAATTGAGCAAAACAAATATTCATGCGAAACTACAAATCAAGTGCATCTTTCTCACAAAACATGGGCTTGAAGATCTCGGATGCCATAACTGTAAAATGTCTCGTAGTGGTTCCATTCTTCCTCTAACACTTCCAATGGATCTGCTGCAAAAACTCTATTCTATGACTGACTACAAACGTCTATTTATCGATTTCACTATTCTACAACTAATTTCAATACTTCAAAACCTATCACAACTTTTGCCTCACTCCAAAACAAGCTATCATTTTCTACCATTTGACAAACAGTGTGAGAAAAGTACAAACACGATAATGTTCGATTATAGATTGCTCGCGCTTACAGATCTAACTGATAACAACGCACGAACGAAGTATCAATCTCATGCTTACATTTATAAGAGCAACAAATTATTGCAAACGTAATCTGTAACGTAATTTGCAAAACAGAATACATTTGCAAATATTGTCTGCAAAAACATACGTACTTTTTGGAGAAACGCATGAAGCGCAATTACCTATCTACAATGGCGGCCAGTTCTATCAAATATATATCTATTTTACATACGTCTGCAAACTGCAGAGACGTCCACAACAGCAGGATTTGGACGTTCCATGCACAGCAATGACTTTTGAATTGACAATGGCAAAACCAGGTATGTGAGTTGAATAAAAATATAAGAAGCAATGAATAATGAATAGAAGAATAATGAATAATAATAAAAGAAGAATGGATAATAACAAAGGCAAAAAATATTTGGTCAAAACTCAAATGACAATCGCCAGGCAAGATATATGAACAATGCATGAGGTAGAAGCAGCAAAACTATATAGAAACTCTCCTGCATGTCACAAAATGTGGATTCAAGAAAATACTGCAATTTGGTCAGAAGAATCTCGGCATCAATGTCGCTCATAACAGATGTCATGCTTACTTGTAACCAAGAATAACTTCCAATGACCTGGATGAAATGAAGTTACAAGAGACAGGGATCGAACCTTCACATCACTCAAGAATATTGAAAAATGAGAAATTGTAGTAATTACCAAGAGTAAGAAAGAGATACCAACAATGAGGTGCTCCACAAAATGATGCTAACGTTGAAATTAAAAGCGCGTTGATAGTGTTACTAAGGTCAACGGGAAGATAAATACGCCATCGCAAACGGGTTTAGAATGATGAGTCACCTAGTGTCATAATATTGAGCACGGTGATGATGCATTTTTTACATCTTTGCGTAAATAATGGAATGGGTAAGCTGTACATATTGTTTCTTAACGATTTTGCAAGTGTTTGTGAGCAAAAACATATGATTTATATTTTTGTTCTTGATTCTTTTTTTTGGGAATGTAACAGCATGACGAATGTACGAAGTTCTAGAGAAATTCTCAGAACGGACAAACTATAAAAATAGTACAAAAAGGATCCAATGGAGAATTTTTCGCTGCTTACTTTATGTTAAAAGGAAGTATTGGCAAAAATAGCACGTTGAGCGTGGGAAGCTTGAAAAGAGCAAATGTACCAAAATAGATTCGTAAAAAAGCAATGCGCAAAAGTACTTTTATCGATATTTTTGCGTAGCAACCAACAATGCGCAATGCGAGAGAGCAAAAAACAGTGAAAGAAGCGAGTATGAGTCATCGATAACGTTGGCCGGTACTACGATTGCCGAGAAAACGGCGAAGCGTGGACAGAGCGAAATTATATTCGAAAATTCATTTCATAACTGACAGTGCAAAATTGTTATCACCTTCCCAATCACAACAATTATATACCTATTGGTTGACCCAGTATAAGCATCAACTAGCGGCATTGTATATACAACTGTAGGCACAAATAATTATAACATCGGGTTAAGAACAAAAAGATAAACTCTATACAAATATCAAAGACACAATGCATGCACATTTCGAGGAAAGCAAGTGTAGATAAAGGATGAGGCCTAGCCTGGTTTAGGTACACTGTCACCATTGCCAGGAAGATGTCCAGTGTCATGCATTTCAGGCGTATAGGTGAGGACAATGAAGAATACCCAAAGATGTACAACGACGAAGTAAACAGCCAGGAAAAGCCGAGCTGCTGGGTAGTTGCGCAGCATGGATATGATGCGAAACATCACTGTGTCAACCACTGTCACGGCTTGTTTGGCAGCTGGATTCTGGATCGAAAGTGAGGCAGATGGAGGATCTATCGGAATGACCGTTTCACGTGCATTCTTCTGGAAAAAAGGAAGTTTCCCAGTGACATCCAATGCTTGTCACAAGCTTGCATTAGTTGGAGGCGCTAAGAATAAAATTTGTAGGTAAGGAGAAACCAGAGACAAATCAGAATATTTTGCAGCAAAACCTCAGATGTAAACTTTTGTTACAGATTTGTAAGCGAAATAAAAGCAAGATCAGGTTGAACGACTAACATTCAATGCATGGACAGAAAAAGTAAAACATAAAGGCTACCTGCAGTCTCTCCAACTTCAAAGCAAGGATCTGATTATTTCTTTGCGCTTCCTCCAGCTCAATTTGTTTTTGCAAAAGACGTTCGCCCAACGATAACCCGTCATTTCCACGAGTCATCTCCTCCTCTCGCCTCCTTCAACTTTGCATTTTCTTTCAGTAATGCAGTTTAGTACCAAAACTACCTCGCTCTCTGGTCTTCCACATTCTTTCTGAGTTCAGCTTCCTGTAATTCTAGTTTCCTTGCAAAATCTTCACTTTGCCTTTTCATCTCTTGCTTTTGGAACTCGCTTTCGATCCTAGAATCTCCAATTTGAGAAATGTCTTCGTATCAGAAACAAGTGCAGCTCAACCTGGCACAATCTACTTTCTCATTTAGTAGGGACACCGTTGCATGCCAGCTCTGCTTCTCTTCCAGATACTGCCTTCGTTGTTCTGATTGCTTAGCCTAAATAAGGGAAAATGAAGAAGGTAGATGAATTTACTCAACACGATACCTGTTCCTCTCTCAGCTGATTTTCCATTTCGTCAATTTCAGATCGTAAATTGTAGACCATCAGTTGTGCCGATTCCAGATCCGCCCGGGCAAGATCCCTGACATGATAAACCGTAGAAACATAATAAACTGAAGCTGGAATGTATCGAAGGTTACCTCTCGACTCTCATCTCCTCAAGTTCAGCCTGAAGCAAATGTCCTGGTCGGTCAGCGGAATCGCCTACGTGCTGCTGAAGAACAGATGTTGAGCATTAGCTGATTACGCAAACATCCATAAACCGACCTCCGTCTTCAGTGAATCCACCAGTTTTTCTTTCGCTTGTAGAATTTTCTGCGCCTTCTCCTTGTACTGATCAAACTCTTTCTTGTTCTCGCTCAGATTGAACTTTGCAAGACGAAGCTAGAAATCAAGAGTATTGAGAACTTGTTACGATGTACGAAAAAAGGAAATTGCCAAGTAGGGTATCTCACCTGTTCTCCCATCGCACGAACTTCCTCTTCATGAGCCATACACTTTCGTTTCAGCTGTGTGCATTCTTCAAGCAAAACGTCGCGTTGTTCTTGAGCCTTCCTTCTAAATAAAGACAATTCATTTTCGATTTATGAAGCAAAACTATCACATACCTAGCAATTTTCAGCTCCTCCACGCTATCTGCATTGGCCTGTTGAGCTAACCGCTGCTCCACAAGTTCTTTTTCTGCCTTCAACTCAAACAGTTCGTCGCTTCGCTTAGCCAGCTTCCGTTCAAGATCCTAAACCCCTAATTTATGGGAATGCTTTCGTACCAGAAAAGTATTACCGAGATCTTCGTTCGCATTGCAGAAATTTGCGTCTCCTTAGCCCATAATTGTGATTTCATCTGCGAGATATCTGGAGGTTGCTCTAGAATAGTGAAATTAGTTATAAGAAACTTGAACAAGGTATGTTCACTTACCAGAGGTCACACTTTGTGTGGTTTGGACGGACATCACACTCCGACCACCACTCGACCTTCTGCTTCGTGTGTCCTCCACATCATGGACAGCGTTTTCGTTGAGCATTGCTATGAGCTCATCATCGCGGCGTTCACGCTCCGATACGATCGAAGTAGATGGAACAAAGCTGAATAAATCATTCCAATAACGAAAGGAGACATGCAGTTGATAAATAACACGACTTTGTAAGCTACGAATAAGGAGAGAAATACAGCACACTAGCATCGAAAGGCACCTTTCATTGATCTTTCTTCTATTGGATGCCGCCCCACCGGCGAATTCGGAATGCGTTCGAGATGGCAATGATGGACCGCTACGACCTAGCTCCTCTGTGTGCACTTCAGATTCGTGTTCCTAAAACGCTAAAGTCGGGATCAACATGCATTGCAATGGACATCTTCTACACTCCAATTCTCAGATTAGGCTTCCATAAACTGTAGCAAAAAGAATATCAAAGCCAGAATGTCATTCCACGGATAAAATTTTTTCAAACTAAGCGGTAAACAAAAAATTAACATTTTCAGTGATAACAGAGCATTCCCGAGAGTACATGTCACCACTTAGAAGGTGATGTGCGTTTCGGCCTAGGAATGATAGCTACTATAAGTGCCGTAAACCGCTTAAAATTCACCAGAAAGAGATTAGCCCTTTAAATATTACGTCTATGTGGTTACTGCGTAATATAACCATTAAAAAGCGATAACTATGTTGAAAACATTCAAAGAACAGTGGGACTAAGATTACAGCTTCCATATTTTGACTCAAACACTTCCAAATGCTTTGACTTGCAAAGCAGAATGACATATACATATAAAGCAAGAATTACTAGTTTCTCGTAAAATCAAATGGATAGAACCGGGAAAATAGGCGGCCCAAACGAAGTCAAAAGCAAATGCATTACACGGCGTACCTCATTCCTCAACTGGACATACGAATTGCTCCTGGCCGGTCGTGACGCTGATGATAGAACCTTTTGATTCTGGATCACATCACCGGTAGATTGATCGAGCCGATTTAACAAATCTTCGGCTTTCCCAGCTAGATCAGACACTTTCGTTATCCATGACATCTAACCTATAATACTCCAATTCTCAATGGATCTTCGTGTGTATAAACTCAAACCGATACGGCTAATTAAACAAATTACATCAGCCACAATGCTGGAAACTGAGCAATGAAAGAAGCAGCTTCTTTGAACTTTGCAAAATTCCGTAAACAGGTGACGTCATGAGACGTGGTTTGCAATGGCGCGGCGAATAACATCTGGAGCACGGCAACTGATGGGACGTTGCAAAAACTGGGGTGTAGGGCGTTAGGCGACAAACCCGGTTTTTCGGACCCTAGAAAACTTCCCGTACAAAACGTCTCCGGCGCCAAAAACAGGGGGTGGGGGTCGGGGCTGATACATTACTCGACGGCATCAAAAATGGCGCATAGTTTCGACTTACGGGCTTTATGTTGATTGCGTTTTGCAGGTTTTGTCGCCTAGCGCTTGCCTTCCCAAAAACTGTCAGGATGTGGAAGAACGTATCTAGAAAGAGCAGCGTATGCAGCGATATTAGACATGATTTGAAATACATCACAAAAACCTTCCTGCAGAAGGTAAGTTTCCATATACGAAGTCTTCGAGATTCTATCAACTCATTGCCGAATAAGTGTACTGTAGTGCAACATTCCTTCAGTATAGTATTCAAAAAGTCACACTACCGTCATGAAATTGCGATCACAGTCGCATGATTCTCGTCGATGTTTTGCGCAGCCCGCAATGGTCGCAATTCAGTGCAGGACTATACCTATGTCGCCGAATTTGGAAGAGTCCCGCGCCGATTGCCTGCAGGAACGCATGTCCGCGCATGTACAAGGGCGCGTATTTGTCGCAAATGACCGCGGGGACCGCCCTTTTTCGGCGACATACAGTCCCCTACCCCGCCTGCGTCGGTGGATCATCCTGAGGTTCATTTTGGAAAAGCTAGTGACAAGCTCCGACTAATCCGCAATTAGAGGACTTGGAAATACCCGCGATATCATCCCATATGTCTTCCTTCAACATGACGTGGATTACGTGGCTTGATGAGGCGCCGCCTCGCCTCAGCCTCGCGCCACGTTGCGAGCGCATCATTTGGCGCGACGTGGCGCTCAACACAACGTGGCGCAGGCTTTTCCGCGTTCTTCTTGTTGCCACATCACGCCGAAGATGCGCACGCAACGTGGCGCAAGCCCGAGGCGAGGCGGCGCCTCATCAAGCCACGTAATCCACGTCATGTTGAGGGAAGACATATGAGATGATATCGAGGGTATGTGCAATCTGCAAATTGTGCAATTGCACACATTTGCAACACCTGGAAATATACGCTAGTATGACGAAGGCGCAATATATTTGGGCGCGAACGCGGCTTTATTAGCCGCAGAGCGCATGAGGCGGAGGATTCACAATGGTGAAAATACGCGCGCGCATCGTTTGCGCCCGCTCAACTAATATTGCTTCTGCGCCTGCGTTATGCAGTAGCCTTTATGTGCAATCTGCAAATTGTGCAATTGCACACATTCAACCAAGGCGCAAATGAGAATGAACTGATCGCAGATATTCGCGCTTAGTCAAACTGTACCTACTTGAAGTGGCAGTGACTTTTACTGGTTGGAAGAATAAACATCATCATTAGAATTTATGTAGAACATGTTTCGAAAGTTTGACGGAAGGGAATAGAGGAATAATAGTACGCTTTAGTGCAAAGCCAGTGAGCTGGTTTGTAAATATGGACTGACAGTACATGCAGTCAATTTGCACGGCGTAAGTGACAGTCCGCAAATGTCGAAAAAAAAAACATGGCATTGTGCCTAGCTTTTCGATAAACCCACGCTGTAAAAATGAAGTCTTGCACATAGAAACAGAAAGTAGCTATCCAAGAAGCCAATTTTTTGGGTAGTGCCGAGATGAGGTGTTCGTTCCTCTACCCTAATTTTTTTATTTTAATATTCTATTCTATTTGTGAAACGTTCCTCAGGCATATATAAAGTTAACTCTTTTGGTAGCAGTTTCATAGCAATAGCCCAACTCCTTCTGCTACAAAACTGAAGACACAGACGCGAAGCTCTTTGGAAAAAAAATCGGATTATATGAACACAACATTCTCCAAGCTCAATACTAATCTAGTCAGTTCACTCTCCAAAAGGCAGTGTAAACTAAACAAGCTCTTTCGGCTTCCGATGCAATGCACAACACATCATGAAGCGGGAAATCTATGGAAACTTGGTTAAAAAGGCTCTACCAGTTTTACATATTGTTTTGTCCACATCATTATAAAAACTAAGATAGTACACTCCTGTTAATCTTAATGATGGATCATTAACTCCGATCGGCTTTTCAGGGCTAGCCTAACCGCGAGCCAAAGTTCGCTTCCCAAGAATATGTTAAATTGCCTCAAAAGTTCTGTTTGCACCATTTTCGGAAATTCACAGCTTCTGTTTTTTACCCATGCATGCTTTTACTTTTGTTCGAAAGAGCAAATTATGCTCTTTATGATAGTTTCTTAATGGCCTTCTACTGAGCTCATATGCACAGATAAAAGCGTTAGAAGAAAATTATCCAAAGTTCGATTTTTCTGCGTTAGGTCGTAAAAAATTGAAATTGGCAGCAAAAATCAGAGTAGTTAGTAGCTAGGTTTTATTTCCCGCTTACTCCAAAGACTGATTACGTTTACATGATTTTTGAGCGAGCAGTACAAAACAGCTAACTTGATTTTTTGAAATTTTTTTTTCGAAAATCATTGCTTTTCATGAAGACTTTCAATCAGCACAAAATTTGCTCGTTTAAAAAAGCAATCAATAAACAAATTGGCTAAAAAAACCGGAAGTTATGAATTTTTGAAAATGCGAACGAACTTTCGGGACGACCTAATATTAGGTTGGGTAAAAAATGATCCCGTTTTGATATGCAAATACGAAACTCCAACAGTTTGAATGGTCGAGATAATTTAAAGGCAATACATCAAAATCAAAATTTTCTATCCGTAGTGAAAAGCATCTGTGTCAGAACACCTGATCTAGCCTCTAGAAAATGACTTTTTTTGACTCCCTGACGATAAGGTTGTTTCCATGTTGTGGTGAATGCACACGGATAATCTAGTAACTGAATATACAGGGTGTCCCAAAAAAATGTATCGAACGTTTGATCGTTAATATCTCTCTTCTAAAGAAGTCTTTTCTCTTGCTTCAGGTACCAATCCGTAGATCTGGCTTCAACTTAGATTTGCATTATAGAACGAATCACTCATTTCTCTTCATTACTGTAGGATTACGATAGAAACTTCGAAGAGGGTTTTAAGCAATAAAGGCCATATTTTGCCTTAGAAAGGAAACAAAACAGCCTGAAAGCTTTTACACTAGGCTAATTAGAGTATTATAACTGTAAAGTTCCCAACTTATTATGATGCTCCATTGAAGAGTTATGCCAGGTAAGAGGTAGCGGCCATTTTTTCAATATTCCTAAAAAGTGCGATTACACCGTTTAGAAAGCTTCGTAATCTTGTGAATAGTTGAGTATTGAACTCAGCGTCCATAAAAACCTTATTACACAAGTTTTCACAATTTTTTGAAAAATTTTGAAACGGCAGCTTTTTCCACATTGACACCATATGTTTCAAGTTTCTACCGTAATCCTACAGTAATGAAGAGGTATGGGTGATTCGTTCTATAATGCAAATCTAAGTTGAAGCCAGCTCTACAAAACGGTACTTGAAGCAAGGCAAAAGACTTCTTGGGAAGAGAGATATTAACGATCAAACGTTCGATACATACTTTTGGGACACCCTGTATATAAACTTTGGCTACATGGCGAAATGGAATGCATTGTATAGCAACAAGCGCGGAAATCATCATTTGGGCAGCCCAGATCACTTGCTTAAACCATCTATGACCATGCAAATGGTTGGAAAATCAAAACCGAATGTGTCCACATACACTGCACATTTTACACTCACTTCAGATCGATTTACGAGCACGAGCTCCTGGAATAAAGATGAAGAGTTTAGCTAATCCATTTTGTCCAGAAAATCCCTTTCAAGCACAAAATGCTCAATTCGATTGCTTTCTCCAGCGAATGCATTATATGCAAACCGTGGAAACGACCAAAATTCTTACAAAGCTGTATAGAAAGGAAGGTTATTCAAAGTAATTCGCACAGCTGGTTCAAGTGCTTGCAAAAGAGTTGTAGATTTGACTGCACATGTAATTTAAGTACAGATCTAGCAGTGAAGGATTGAGGGTGGGAGGATTTGGAAGGATTCTTTTCAAGAAAAGATTGCGAAATTGTCAGAAATAGAATACATGAATTACAAAGTCGTGTAAATACTTGATTCTACTTGTAAATTCAGAAAACTTGAAAAATAAATAAAAAATCTCCTTGTAAATTCAAAGAAAAAATTTAGAAAATAAATAAAAAGAAATGTTTAAAACATTCAAATAAACTTCGTAAACTTTATTTTTCAGTTTTCAAGGTCCCAAAATTGCAAAAGACATATAACACCATCCCTTCATTCAAAAAACTTCTTCATCCCCCCTTCTACCAGGAAAAGTTTTACTTCCATGAAACTCAGAAATATTCAAGTTTGACCAGGACCATATCAAAATCCAACAGCTATATTACCACGGATACCTCGGATATGTCTGAAACTAAATCTGATGTATTTCATACTGGAAAATGTATGGCAGTCAACGAAATCGTTGAGAAAAAATTTCACTCAGGAACAAAGAATGCTGTCGTCTGTCATGATTAGAGTTAACGGTTTGTTGCCAGAAGGGATTTGAGGTGGTAAGTCTGGAGCAATGCTTATGGCAATCAACGAAACTTGTAGAGACTTCCATTAGCATTTCTGCCTCCTATGCGAGAGGTGGGGGAGGTTGAGGCAAACGGAAAGACTACACAATATCAAAGTTCATTCACTGTGATAGCAAATATTAGGTTGAACACTAAGCTTTGCAACTTGTTTCATAACTTCACTCTCATTCAACATGGCGCACTCAAACTTTGGCATCATGTAGAATGCAATGTGAGCTACAAGCGAGCACAAATTGTCTGAATTTTGAATATGAAATAGAAAAGTTTCAGGCATTTTTCGAAAACTAGTGAAATTTGAGAATTTTTGGGGTTTCTAGCTAAAATGAGGCCTTTGGCAGCCTAGAACATGCGCAGTAATCCGGATTCGTCCACAAATTATTGCTAAAGGTTGACTCCTTTGGCCTATTAAGAAGGAAACAAAATTTAGGGGCATGTCGAGATTTGGCGTCCTCATAAAATCGAACGAGTCGATGTACGCAAGAGCTGGGGACGACCGTCAATGACTAAAGAGTCCGAAGGTCAAATTCCGCCGAAACTTTAATAGTAAGGTTATTTGACCTGCCAAACACGAATATCACATTCATTTGTTGAATCAACGCCTTTTTCCTTGTTTAGGGTGAGACCCCATATCGTACACCTACAGTAATCCTACAAAAGAACCCTTATCACGCAGTTTCACTATCGTTTTCGTGATCAGCATGTCGGATAACACCCCTATGCCAAGTTTCAGCTAAATCCGTCAAACTTTGAATATTTTTTCTTCATACCGTAACCCTCACTGCGACTTCCGAATTTGGTAGGACAGCAGCTGAGCTTGTAGCTTACCTGATAACCAATGCAGTGGCAAAATTTGAGTGCGCCATGTTGAGTGAGAGGAAAGTTATGAGACTAGTTGCAAAACTTAGTGTTCAACCTAATAACTCAACCGTTTGGTTTACCACAGTATCATAGCCGATTTGACACCTTGTGGTAGAAATAAAGAGCGGGGCTATGGAAGGTAATGTTGCCAACGGCGACCGAAGGCCTTTTCTTGTTACAAGCACCATGGGCTATTGGTCACACCTATTGAGGTGATAAACTAACCCCAGCACCAGTATAAGTGGTGATAGCCGACTATCAAAAAGTTTAGAACTCAACCGTCGCTCCTAATGTCGATATGTATATCCCACTAATGTGCTTACTATTATCAAATTTTTCTCTGATACACTGATCGGTGTTTCACTAGTATATCAATATTTGCTCGCTGTTAATCAAACTTACAAAACTTAAAAAAATTATCTAGAATGTTTGCGTCTTATCTTACGAATTCTATGTATCCGAGAGATGCTACAAAGTTTTCGAAGTTTTTCTGTATGCCAATGTTTACACCACAGGTTAGTCCTACCTTATGTGTTTATATTTATCATACACCTATCATAAGCTGATTTTCAGCTTCAGTACAGGTCGGTGCAAAAGTTTTGTCGTTTTTCTTTATCCACCGGCAAATAGGATAGTATAGAAATAAACAAATACTCAGGACGTATCCGATGCAGAATTTCTTCCTCCCAGCTGTTATTCCCAGTGCGATTTGCTGAGAGAGTGCTGAGATAATCGCTAAAAAAATACAACCATTCGTTTTCACCGGGTCCAAGTTTCGCAATTTTTCAAATATTTATTCGGAACTTTAAGAGAGCTCTAGTAGCCAGCACGTAGGGCAAACCTTTTGCCAACTATAACAATTTATTTCTTTTTCCTGCACTTTTAGAATTTTGCCAAATAATTTCCAAAAGTCTGGGGTTCAAAATATTTCATAACCAGTTATTGAACCAAAGCCAAATTACTAGCACACCGTTGCTTCAAACCTTCATCATTATTATTACTGACTTTACAGAGTAATTGAGCGATTTTAGCTGCAAAATTTAAAAGCAATTAGAAATACTGCGATTTTCCTCGCGAATTTCCCGTTTCTTGTCAGTAAAGGACAACTAAAGAAAGAAGGGAAAAAGCTGCATCGAATGGTACCTAAGCTGTGTACTACCTTCTGCGAAATTAGAATAAGCCGAATAAGCAATTTGGTTACCTCAACAAGTATATTCAGAACGTTCTGAAGACAAGCCAACAGCTGCAAAAATCTGCTTCAGTTGGCAAAATTTTGCCCTACCTGCCGCTCTTGAAGCTCCCTCAAAAGTCTTAAATGAGACTTTTGAAGATTAACGAAAGTGAAACAGGCGAAAACGAAGGATTGCAGTCTACAGCGATTATCTCAGCACCCTTTCGATAATGAATACAACACCTGAAGAGGAAGAAATTCAGCATCGGATACAACTTGAAGTGTTTGTTTATCTTCACTGTACGGAATTTGCGGGTCATTTCGAAAGAAAAGTGACAAGACTTTTGCACCAATCGAATAATATCTCTAGAGTAAAATTTACGCTAGAATAAAACAGGATGTAGATCCAAACCCATTTCGCTGAACTCCACTTCAATTCCTTTCTGAACTTTTAAAAACAAAAAAAAACCAAAAAATCTTGAAGGTTCAGGGACCCATGCTACCGGCAATTTCTCCGAATACAAGCCCCAGTCCAAGTAATACTAGTTCCATTTCAGATGACGCAGAGATGAATGCACACGGTAATTTAAAGTGTATAATTCTTTTCAGATCAAAGCAGGCAGCAAAAATTTCAATAGTACATTTCTTCACATAAACCTCATTTTCACATTTCAGACTGTTCCTCAGGCTATTCAAGCTTGGATGAATCTTGGGCAACACTAAGTCGTGAGTAACATCTTTTCCGTTTTGTGGAATACTTTTCGAGCTTTTTTACGAACCCAGTTTTACTAGAGAACAGATGGATAAACTTTTAGCATATCTTCAAATGTTCCAATTACGACAATTTGCCTATTCTCCACCGTATTTTCCATTTTGGTATCGCCAGTGGTCCTCACCTTCACTAACTACAGGTAAGCAAGTGGATCCGTGGGAAAGATGAAACTCTCATCAAATTCTAACAAAACGCTAACTGTAATGGTTATTCAATGAAATATCTGATGTAGTGAAATGATTAGATTCCAATTACAGAGCAATCATCGGAATGCAAAAAATCTCTAGGATTTCCACCAGAATATGATATAACCCCTCTACGACCCTTCACACCAGCAGGTGCGTCTGCTGGATTAGGTGAGTAAGCGTTGGATTTTCTAAACAGAGATAATGTTCTTCATGTTCTTTCTTGCAGGTAATGAAGAATTTTCACCCATTCCAATAGACAAGCAGATATCTCCAATATGCAGAGTGCCCACGACAAGGTTGGGAACTCCAAGCCAGCGACACCCGACTTGTTCGAAAAGTAAGTTTCGCCAGTGGCCCTCAACTACCGTAAGATACATGAACGATCTAAAAATTATTTTCAGCACAACGATCGCTGATGCTGCTGGAAATGATCGTTTATCTTCTACATGTCAATACTGATATAATTGAATGGATCAGCACGACATCGCCAGAGTTCAGGATACTAGACAGAAAGAAGTTCGTGGCGCATTGGAATAGGTTATCGGGAAAACAAGTAAGTAGCCAAAAATTTGCTGAACAAAAAAAAAAACCGATTCACTGCTTTTTAGGATTCCTTTATAGCGATAGCCTGCAAGCTGAGAGGTGTTGGAAATGAGAAAATGCAAACAACAGATGGGCAGAAAATTCGATTGATAACTCGGACAGCACCGTATACTTACCGTTTCTTACCGGATCAGGGAACATCCAGGTGAAACTCTATGGCTATAATTTACCAAAACCATATGATCGAATGAAAATACAATTACTGAAAATGTTGTGTTCTAGAAAATTTAATTGAAAAGTATCTCTCCTCCCTCCCCCTCCAAAAAAAAAACACATAGGTCGACTGACCACTTGATTTCTTCCTTTCCAGCTTCCCCATGCTTCATGACCACATCCTTCAACAACTAATCACCAAGATGCTGTTGTCTTTCCATCTCCATCAGCGCAAGTGCAAAAACGATGCTGAATCAGCTACATTCTGCCACTAATGGTATGTGATAGTATCGTACACATGGGAAACTACAAAATCGAATGAGACAAAGTGCAACACAAAGTTCTGACGCAGGAGAGCAGAAGATGACAGTCATTAACTCCCGGTTAACATCTACTAAGTATATGATATAACTGCTAAGAAAATTATTGGTATATTACTTGAAGTAGGAAATCTACTGTGATATTGTCTAGGATCCTATTCAGCTAATATTTATTTGGAGATATTTTTGAGTATTCTTTCTTCATATGATAGCGTAATGCACTATATGTATCTCGGGATTTTGTATGGTGACTTTTTCAAAGATGAAGAACAATTTGCGCTAAATTGGTAAAGTTTAATTGCGCTAAATTGTAAAGTTTAAATGGTGACATAGAAACCTATTATACCAATTAAGCATGTTTTTTGCACGGGTTAAGTGTGAAATTTGAATTGTGCGAATCTAAACTGTAAAGTTTTCAAAAATTCCGACCCGTAAAAATTGGTAAACTAGAGAGGGGCCGAGTCTATGCATTGGGTAATTTCTATCGTCGATTCGTTGACCGCACGGACTGCTCAAACGCTGCGGACTCCGCGCGACGCGGCTGCATTGCCGCGAGAGCACGACTTGTACAATGGCCAATTTGTACTGAAGCAAGCGTTTTACCTCGCGTCGCGTGCTCCGCAGTGATGTCCAGTTCGTGGGTCAACGAATCAACTATATTCACGTCATGATTTCAATTTATCTGCGAATGAACGCTCGTCTTGGATGTTGTCTCAAGAAGAACGACTGATCGAAATATATGAAAAGCATCTCGGTTACTTAAGTAGTTGAATACAGAAGAACTATAAGGAAACTGGTTTCCAAAGCTCAACAAAAACTGGTTACTAAATCAGATGGGGAATTACTAATTAACGGAAGCCACGTTCAACGCATATGAGTAAATCAGATTTTTTATTCAATAATTCACCCAGCATATTACTTCTCGTTAATGGTGAATCACAAGGTGCAAGGATTGTAGTGATCAAGTGCGCGCGAAGCACAATTCTACAGTTTTATGTCGATTGTATGCTCCCTTTTGGAAATACGCATCCGCAAGCGAGCGCCTTACGCGCAAGCCTCTACATGTAAACCAAACCCTGCGGACCGGCGGACTCAAACCCTGCGGACCGGCTGTACTGTGGCGAGAGCACGACTCGTACAATGGCGAATTTGTACTGGGACAGGCGTTTTACCTCGCGGCACGTGCTCTGCAGTGATGTCCACTCCGTGCGGTCAACGAATCGACTATGAGGCCTCTTGAATGCTTACGCAATACAAGCGCGATTGGCGAAGACCTTTGGTGTGACGATTGCGCCAATCAAAAAAGAAGCACGCGACTGACACGGATTGTACAGTGGAGTGGTACGAGCGTTTTAACGGCGCGTAGCGTACTCCGCAATGACGACAAGATGCGTTGACGACTCAGCAGCTTGTCAAAATGTCAAAATCACTTACAAACCTAGGAGCTTACGTGATATCTGCCAATAATCATACAACCGCTCAATGCACTGGACTTTAGTAAGACTTTAGATATGACGTAGCATCAACCAGTAATTCACGCATGCTAAAAAGGTTTTTTCGGAAATCTGTAACAACTCCATGAACTGAATGATAATTATCACTGATTTACACAGTAAGAGGAGAAATGATTTGCCATTTCGAACCGAGGGGCTGAATTTTGCATTTAAATCTTGACTCAACATTTTGAGTTTTTGTCAGCCTGTTCAAACATCGCACACTGCAGCACATTTAAGAAAAAGTACTGCTGTCAAACCAAAGACAGCCTAGGGGGTCAAGCTTTCCGAGATATGGATCTAGAAAACGATAAGCAAAGCTCTAATAGTAACATCCGTACGCAATGTATCACATTACGAAGTAAGCATAAATTTATTAATCAACTCAGTTTGAAAGTACACATAATGTATATCTGATTAGCAACGAATGAGACAAAATATGCAGAAACTGATATGAAACTAAATGTTCACAATTCTTTTCTAGTGCAGTTGAAGCAAGCTAAACACTTTTGTGCTACTGCAAGAAGAAATGCTACGTGAGCTAGACGACTTCATAGAAGGCAATTTCTTTCAAATATATAGTATGAACATATGAACGAATCAGATATAATGCGAAAAATAAAAAGAAACAGTAGATACGAGGATATTGCTGGACTGAAACATAAAGTAAAACAATCAGGAAGGGGACGTCATAATGCCAAGTTTGGCACTAACGAGGCCAGATCTATTAGACTGCGCGAGTTGGCGGCAAAGCATGATCAGAAGGAAGGGAAGACGCGAAGTGAGTGCACAGACCTACGGATTTAGCGTCTCGGCACATTGACAGTAACCGGGCACAAGTGATATTTGAACTATCGATGTTGAAGGCAGTAGCGTGCGCCTCTATCGGGATTCCAAAGGCTCGCTTGAAATGCGAAGATGACCGCTTCAGTATTAGAAGAAAATGAAAAAGGGATCTACCAAAAGCAAATCCGCGAACAAAGCTTCCAAGAATCACTTCAGAATCCCGTCAACGAGGAACACGTTGGCCTAGAAGGATCTCTATTTCATTTCCATATGATAAGCATCCATATACTTTTAAGTCAGGACAGCGGGGCAAAATCTCACACAAAAGCAAGACGATTCCACTGCAAAAGCAAAAAACTAGAACTACGACGATGAAGTAAACCCTTTAACAAGCAGCGTCTTCGATCCTTGTTCTGGTGTGTGGTTTGGAGATGACTTGAACCCTTTCACTACCAACGATTTCGAACCTTGCTCTGGAGTGTGATTCATTCTCAACGGCGTACTCATCGACATACGATTGCTGGTATGCGTTCGCTCGTGCTTCGTCAGATGGTCGGAGCGCATGAATTTTTTGCCGCAATGGCCACATGCAAATCGTTTTTCACCGGTGTGCGTGCGACGATGCCGTTGTAGTTCATCGCTTCTGTAAATAGGATAGATCGACGTTCCCATAGCGTAACGCTGAGTCCCTTATCAAGCATTCACATCGCACACTTTCTCACAGCAGCGGCAGATATGCAAATCTTGCGTGCATTAAGCACACCTATCAATCTCATGATACTGAGCATTTGCCTTTCCACAACGTACCCCTTAATAATCCTATAGCAAAATTTACCACAATAAATTCGGGAAAAAACCGCAATTTCAGAAAAAAACAAATTAACGACCTTACACACAAATTGTGCAAGTCGCTCTAACACTAAATCACAAAGATAAAATTGCAGGTTTGTTTTGGGTGCTGATATCTAGCTGATAATTGGAAAAGTTACGAGAAATCAGATGACGATGATGAAATCCCAGAATAATAAAATGCAAAATTACCTGGTGAAACGTTTGGTGCAGTGCTGCCAATCGCATGCAAAAGGTTTGTTTCCGGCATGTCCACGCAGATGAGCCCTGCAGAAAAATCTTTTTGAAAAACTATGAACTGGCGTTTGGTGCAGCAGAAACCCACCTTAGGTGTGATGTCTTTCCATAAGTTTTCTGGCAAATATGGCAAATGTGCAGTCGTTGTTTACCATCACCGCTAAAGATATTGCAAAATAGATAAGCTATAAAACCACCTACAAACACTCACGATCTCGGGGTACTAGCATTTTGGCAGTTTGGACAGGTACATGCACATCGTCTTGGTACTTGACTCTGAAAATAACAGTCAATCTAGGACCTCTGAAGTACACTGCTAGAGATTTCGAGTATCACAGAGTGACATCAAGATCTCACATAAGTTGCGAGATAGCGGGAACTGTTATCTCAAAAAGAGCTCTCGATAAAATAAAAATAAATTACATCATCGATCCCCATTTCGTATTCTCCGGCCATCATGTTTGGCGAATCACCACCGCCGGTCATTCTGGATGACTGGTTGTTAGAATGGTTCGATGGCTGACTTGGTGTTGTAGCAGCAGAATCATTTGTAATAATCCATTTCTGGGGATCATTTGGATCTTGTTGAAAATGAAGATTTCCTAAAAGAAAACAAACTTCAGCAGCACCAGTCTCTGTAGCGATAAATTCACCCACCCAAAGTAATTCGCTGTTGTGACTGCGGCTGTGAAATTGGCGTTCCGCCGGCATGTCCAGAATCCAACGTTTCCATCTTGAACACGCTTTTCTACTTACAAATTCTTTCTTCAAACTAAAATCAAATGAAAATTTCAAACCTGAACGACGCTTACATGGGTGGTGCTACTCGTTGGTTGCATAGGACTCAGCACTGTCATTTGTTTCTTTTGCGTATCGGCCGGAATTTGCATTGGTATGAAAGTGAGCTAAAATTGACAATTCATCTAAGGTTGATGCTGTAGACTATGCGTTCCTAGAACCGATTCCCGCTTGAAGCATGTGAAAGCTCACTCAAGATGCCGGTAACCCCATTCAGCAGTTTATCACCATAATTTTTTTCAAACGAGGTCTAGCATTCTCTTTGTTTGAAGCCATTTTTTTACTCTCGCATTGGTCCAGCTTATACAGGGTCTGCTTCACTTCGAGTACTTACATCTTCCTATTTGAGGCACAGTCTTCTATCTATTCCAAGTTGTTGCAGATCGATTGATTTTATGTATTCACTTCATCTTAGGCCTATTCTGCATCTTTCATCTGATGCCTCTACCACCAAAGCTAACCTCTTGACATGGACTTTCCTCCTTTCTGCGGAGCCGCCCCCATACCATTAAATTTTTCCTGCATTTTCTGAGCACATCATGATTCTCTTGCCTTGAGTCTTTCGCGAATCACTAGCACCGCACTGAATGTTTGACTCTATAGATCACGGTAAGTATTACGAGACATTAACACCATGATAAATCCGCTCAATTGCGAATCCTAAAACCTGACATGATGAGGCCCCCAACACTAGATTAAAAACTGTCCTATAGTTTTAGCCTGTTCAAGTGGCGTGAACAGTGAAGATCATCAGGAAAACTGCTGGTCTGATGCAGTACCCTAGCCTAACTTCGGCTTTCTATGGACAGGCTTCTGATATATCCTACTTTATCTCTTATGTGACCAAGGGCTATGGGAGCCAACTTCAATAAGATGACAAATGCCTGGCGAAAGAAGTTGAGACGTGCACATTAGCAGACCTCTAGCGGCCGTAATTTGGAGGCAAAAGTTAATATTGGTTCTTCTGAGGAAAAGCGTTTTACGAATCTGGTAATGGGTTATTTTTCACTATCATCAGTTGTTCAATGAGTATTCCGGTACCGGCCACTGTGCAAATGGGAGAGATAGAATCTTCATAGCTGATACCGTGTGGTAACTTTGCTTTTCTTCACAGATTATATCAACGAATTATATTTTTCCTATCTTCGCCCTGCAATTTTTTGAGCTTATCCATCACCGTGAATACGAATACAATCTATTCTGGATAATGATTGCATTAGTCACGCTGGGCGGGGGGGGGGGGGGGGGGGGGGACATGGTGCCGAAATAATGCTAAGCACCGTCGCCGCGACGGCCGACAAATATTTGGGCGCATTGCGCCCAGCAGAATGGAACGGTGCCATATCTTCGCGGAGAGTTGTTAGCATTAACACTCGTGCGCATTGTTCACCTTCGCTCTTCGGCTTAGACCATCCAGTATCAGTAAACTGATAGTCCGATTATACGCAAATCAATGGTTATAACAACTCTAACAAATATGTGTACCGACATCGCTTTCAAAACCGCATGAAAAACCTTGGTATGAGAGCATTCCACAAAAAGGACATTATGCCGCCAAAAAGGGTGGGGAGACAATTGCAACAAATAACGCACTTCTACATGTTACAAGCCCGTGTCACTTTTCCGTGCGGGTAAGGTCCTCTAGACGTGATTTTTCTCTTAGCCAACTGTGAGATGACTAAATAACCATCCGCCGGTGGTAAGATTTTGATAGAGATTTTAGTACAACCTGTCCTTTACTCACTTTTCGAAACCTCGAAATGCGAAATTGCCAGAAATCACTGACACCATTCATAACACCAAAAAAAAACAACAAATCTGCTATTTTTTTGAGAGAGAGAGAGAAGATATCTGCGCTGAATATTCATTTTTTGTTACCTCAACGGTAGGCAGAAGCATTCAAACTGGAACATTTCCGTCGAAAGTCATGAAAACTTAGATCACTACGTAAGTGTCGTTGACCTTTTCAGTACAAGTGACCGTAAAATTTTTCTGATAGTAAGTGATAGATTACGTCATTACGTCGTGTTACCAAAATCTGACTTCTGTCAACTACTTGCTACTATTCCGATCCGAACAAGCTGTTTCCTGCGATTCAAGACATTTATTAAAGGTTTTGATTGAACTCAAATTTCCCCCAGCTGTGTACTTCGTCAAAATCACTGAGTTTTGCAATTCAAATTCCCATGGGTTCTCAAAACAAATTCGCAATTATCGAGGCTTGTGGAGACTAAATCGATGTCAAAATCGGACTGAGCGAATATTATCAAAAGAAATACAGCGTACTAGATATAATAGCAATATCTCCCCACAAGAGACTCAAAAAAAAATCTCAAATCGTCCACTCTCCAAATCTATGAAAACACCATTACAGTTACTGTTTTTCAAAGAAAAATTTAGTTAAAAAGCCAAATGATCAGTCAAAAACCAGCGCGACATGTTTGTGTATTTTGAACCTTGTTGGGCCATCCAGATTAGCAGCGGTTCAAAAGTTGTCTAGAAGTTTCTTTTCATTCAAATTCTCATGTTTGTGCAGATCTTAAAGCAGCTTAAATGCCTCCAGTTAATTAATCTGATACAACAATGCATGTGAAAATCTTACTCTCATCTCACATGCTTCTCACGTGCTAAAAAATTGTTGTTATTTCCTTCAACATGATAAGTTTCTGTGCTTAATGGGGTAGCCTTCCCTAGTGAACAAGTGTAGCGGAAAGTACAGTAAACACCATCGTTAAAAATGAATACATTCGCCCTATATCATAGATCACTTCAAGGAGGCGGCACAGGGTTGTACATTAACTTTGAATTCCAGTAAATTGATTTTCTACTAGATATCGATTCGTGACATTACCTGTTGTTGGCCGGTGTTTGGCTGTATAAGATAGACTTGTTGAGTAGGTTTTTGGGCGGCATGTGGAATAAGTATGACCTGAAAAGAAAATGGGAGAAATTGAAAGGGATTCGCTGTCTAGAGTGCACTGCTGTATTTGCACATGCCATAGGCATGATTACAATTCTCTACACTGAGTTCTGTAGTACAAATACACAGCTCAATGTTACCTTAGCGGGTTGCTGCTGGCCGGCTGGCTTCGGAAGGAGGGGCGGCTCGGCCATCGGGGGTGGGGCAAATGACGGACCGCCCGCCGCAGCAGCACGCCCCGCGCTGGCACGCCCCCGCTCTGCTCCTCCGCCCGCCGCGTACTCTCTCGCCCGCATCGCCTCACGACCCGCTCCGTCGCGTCGCCTCGGCTCTCCACCCGCTCTGCACTGTCTCCAATTCCTCTCACCACCTGTGCCATACTCTCTCGCCAGTTATACACGCCCTCTCTGCTCCTCTTCCTTCATACGCTCTTTCGCCACTTTCTCCACCTGCGCCTTTAACGTCGATTGTTGTCTGCTCTGCGTCTCTGGCCGCACCCCCCGCCACACCTCTCTCATCCCATTCGTCACAGTGTAAATTTGCCGCAAAATAACTAGGCCTAGTCCAGAACCGATTTGCTTAGTTCAATGGTCCCTAACGTCTCCAAATGGGAATATGACTAACTAGTTCTATAGTAAACTCTACATAGTGGGGCTAGTTTTTGTTTACATTGACCCTTCAGCTATCGATTTGCGGGGCTTTGCTTAGTACTTGAGAATTTCAGTGGTAGGGGCGATTGAGGCAACTTTATTTTTCTGCTTTTCAAAAACTCGTTCTCAGTAAGTGAACTAGTTAGTCTAGAAAGATTCGATACAGATGCACAAGGTGAAATGCGTAAGAATATTTCAAAGAGGGAACATACAATAATTGTTGATGATTTTCATTGTTTCTCTTGACCCACTTTATTTGTATTTCTGCTACTGGCAGCTGATCCATGCGATAAATTTACGGTCGTACAACAACAATTGCAAGCAAGCAAATATTTGCATTCTAGAATTGAATAAACAGCTTTTAAGAGTTCCATACTTGCGGGTTCATACAATTAGGATGCATTTGAGTGACGAACACTCGACAGAAAATTCCTGAAGCTTTGAAGATTGGGATTTTGAAAAGTGTTAGCAATAATTATTGCACTGCTTTGAAGACCTCTGGCCTAGAACGTTGTAATTCTATTATTTGAATTTGAAATTCCTTTACTTAGCACAGCAAACTTTTGCTGTGCATATCCAAGATATGCAGAAAAAAACAGCTGCACTCTTATTGATTTCATCGCCATGCTGTCATAAATCGTACCGCGTGCATTTGTGCGGCTGTGCAAGTAATCGATCCAGTAGTGCGTGCGTTAGCGACAGCTTTTCCTTAGGCGGGAAACTAAAGCAACTATAGCCAGCTACAATGTAGTTCTGCAGACGAATGATATATATGGTGTTCATGTGTTACCGACAACACTTGCGCGTAGACAATGGCAATCTGCGTTGTATGGCGTTTTCTACGGGCAATTCGCTAGCAAGCTGTCTGCTTTCACATGCATGCTGTTTTTGCGCAAATGATGTGAGAGCCACATTAACCTCAGCTTCTATTTTCTTACGTTTGAAACAATAAAATCATTAGTAAACTGGAATGTCTAGTTTCGATAAATGAGAAACTCGCTTTTCCAGAAATGCATCGCATATAGTTGATATCCACATTCCTGGAGTCATAGTAATACATCATGGTACGCAAGCGGGAAAACACAGGCAAGAACCAAAATTTTGGTAGAAAGAAGAACTCTGTTTATGTCCAAACAATTTAACAATTACAACAAGCATAACAGGTATTGATGCCCACAAAAATACTTCCACCATCGTCCATTCATTTCTTTTTGCCTCCCGTTAGGCCAGCACCGGCGTTAAACTTGAAGAGGATGACGTCACCATCTTCAACAACGTACGTCTTTCCTTGTTGACGATATTTGCCGGCTGCTTTCACCTGAAATCAATTAGCATTGCACTTCAGACATAACGGCCAGTACGCAGCTGAGTTATAGATTTGTGGTAATGATTTCCATGCGTTTGTAAAGGCACCTATAGCCGTTAGCTCTAATTGTTCAGGCCAAGAATATAGGAAAAGAGAGCTAAAAACATACTACAATCGTTAGGGTGGAAGGAAACCGCGCTTAATGTGCGATTATACACAGTTTAGGTTACATTAAGTAGATCTGCATATTGTGTACAATCACTAATGCTTGTCTTGGAAGCAAACTGTAGAATGTCGTCTCATTTGTAGTTAATATGCGTATTGCACGAGACGCGCACCACTTCATGACTTCTTTAACTAAAATCTGTTGAATGCAGGGCTTGCTCCTTGTTTTATTCTCTCTTTGTTTGATTGGATTGATATATAAACTAGTACACAAATTCACACTTTGTTTCACTGAAAAGCTTTTGCTGGCGAGACATTGAGACATAAGGTGTCGTCGCCTGTCGCGCGCAGTGTGAAGGCTCACGTATTAATTTAATCATCACATAAGCATCCGCCATACTTGATCCGCTTGATCCACTTCGCTATCGTCAAATCAATGAACTAACCAAAAGCGAAGTGGATGAAGCGGATCACGTGACATCCATGGATATCCGCTTTGCTATTGGTCACTTCACTGATTTGACCAATAACGAAGCGGATGAAGTGGATCATGTATGGCGCCTGCCACAGATGCCGCTCTTCAAAAAAAAAAACAACAACAGAAATACAATGGATTTAAAAAGGCACAAGTTTTACTTGAACTAATGATTATAAAAAATTCACCCATCGTTTTTGAACCTCAAATGAGATATGAATGATCTCTGCATTCCATGAATTGTTCCCTAAACAGCGATACTTCACTCTAATCTAGGCCAAGGTGAACATGACTGGTGATAGCGACAACTATCAATCGTTTTAACCCTAAAAAGTGAAAGAGTTACAGATAACACCTAAACGTGACACTCCTTGCCCAGTTCACGAGGAAGTGTTGCTAATAGGTTCGAATTAGGACACGCCCTAGCGATCAGGTGGGAGAGTACGACCCTGATCGAATGCCCTTAATTGCCGCCGGCGAGCGACGATGGTGGTGCGCGACTGATGACATTCATCAAACAGTGCGCACCGTCCACTTCTAAAACACACGTTCCATTCGAGCTATTTTTGCTTGATGAACGCGATTTTTGTGTAGTATTTAACACCTGGCAGCATAAAATGAAGTCGATCCTATGAAAAGAATTTGATAAGAAAGATGGTCGTGTACAACTGTAGAGGAAACGAATTATGGAAGTGGAGCAGTAAAAGGAAGACAGTAAGGTCAAACTGTCAAAACCTCGTCCGTCGTTCCAATGCTCCTCAAACCAGGAATAAAGCATATTTAACATGAGATAGATAGGAGGTATAATGGGATAGGCTCAAACAAACACAGCGCTATAATGGAAACCCATTCAAGTTCAACCTAACGATTTATTTACTTTTAGCTATGGACTATGGACTATGCAGCCAAAAGCTTCAACTAGACAACTGCACGATTTGCAACGTTTCCAGAAGTTTTCTAGAAAATTGACTCACATCAGCCACTGAACAGTGTAAGAAAGACCACAGATTAGCAAGTTTCCAATCCAAAAGCGAATTTACAATCCCAATAAAATTATAGAGGGATTTTGTGTAAATCCGAGCGTATTTTTTGTCCAGATAACTTGAACAGCTTATAAAAAAAGAGAAAAAATTGGGATGATACTATAAAGATTAAACTCCAAAATCAAAAGCGGTACATTACTGTTCTGATTATCAAGCTTACCTTGTTTTCTTCACCCAGTTCCATCAAATCCGCTACTTTCATCACTTCTGCCATGATGAAACCTTTTTCGAAATCTGTGTGAATTCGGCCAGCAGCTTTAGGAGCGAGAGTGCCTTTCTAAATGCAGGGAGGTTCCAGGACCTGCTATTACATGATGATTATACCTGAATTGTCCATGCTTTGACTTCATCTTTGCCAGCAGTGAAGAAGTACTCCAACTGTAAGGCTTTGTATCCTGTATGGACGATCTAAAACTCAATTGTTTGCTTTAAAGTTGATAATTGGACCGTCCCAAAAAGATGGAACAGTTCTGACCTTGTCCAAATTAGAGGATGTTTGATTCTCTTTGCAGAACTTCTCACGTTCGTCGTCGGGCATGTCCATAAGTTTGTTCTCAAGGATTCCCGAAAATGGAATGAGCGCTGCTCCAGGATCATTCTTGTCTATCCATTCTTTGATTTTTGGTAACCACTTATTCTTCTGACAAAGAGACAGTCATTTCGTTGTTGTACTATGTTGAAAAGATGGCTCACCTTCCGAATATAATCTTTTTCTGATAAGTTGACTAGATAAACAATCGGTTTTGCTGTTAGGAAAAGATGTTTATTTAGCACCTGTTAATGAAGTAGATTCCTTCCAAAAAAAACACCAATGAATGTTTCTTCCTCACCTCAATCTCTTTTTCGTTCCACGAGTCAAGTCTGATTGGCTTTTTTTCTTCCAAATCCTTCTTGACTCTTACCAAAGTTTCGTAGTCAATCTGGAAAAGAAATACCTTTTCAGCGTATCATATATCTAGAAGCTTATTTTACCTTCAGTGACTTATCGCCAGCTCTGGTAACCAGTTTCTCAACCTTGTCTAGAATGGCAGTCAGTGCCTGCATGTCCTTGGCGAACAGCTCGTCGCTGATGATGTCAAGATCGCGGCATGGATCAACCTCACCTGTAGCAAAAAAATCAAAGACTGAAAAACTCTTGGAAAAGATCTGCGAACCTTCTACATGCGTAACATCATCGTCATCGAAAGCTCTCAACAGATGAAATAGAGCCTCGCAAGCGGACACATGGGACAAGAAAGCGTTTCCTAAGCCTTGTCCCTCAGCGGCTCCTGTAACCTAGAATGTTAGCTGTGCCAGATAAACACAATTGTGCAGCATCTCACACAAGTCTAGTTTACCTTTTACCAAACCAGCGATATCGGTGACATTGAGATAGGCTGGTACTTTGCTTGCTGGCTGATAATGTTCACATAACCAGTCGAACCGGCTATCGCTGACAGCGACCTCAAAAACAAAATCACATAATGGCAGCGTTTAGAAGAGCCTGGACGTGAGCACTTTTAGAGGCACGACAGCATTCCGCTCACTGAAGGGACTGAAATTTTGGAGAAAGGATTTCCCTTGAGCTTAGTTCAATCAATAGACGACCAAACCGTCAACACAATGAGACCGAGAGTTATGCCAACAATTAGCAGATATCATCATATCACAAGAGATCGAAACAATAGTCTGGAGATTCCCTATCCAGGGCTCGGCGCAGCTGGTACCAGGTCAAGCTGGATATCGTTTTTAGGCCAAAAAGCAAAGGGTATATCGTCCTGGTCCGAAAAGACACAAAAATTGCGAGGTTTTTTTAGTCGACGTATTGTTTTTGAGGATTTTTAACGTTTAGTGTTTAAGATCAAAGTGGACTTTGTAGGAAATTTCGGAGATCAAAAAGGAGTTCGTTTTGAGATTTTCCTGGTGCCAGCTCGTGCCAAGCTCTGTCCTGATCTCATAACTTTTATCTCGGCGACAGCGAAGATCTCGCTAGCGCTAGCAAATGCGCAGTGATCGATATGAACGACTGAATGACAGCAACGAAGACTTACTAAGAAAAAAACGAAAAAAAAAACTATGCGACAAGGCACTCAAGCGAAGAATACTAGGCGAACTCACTCTGCTCTCATTGGGGTCGATGGTGCAAAAAGGAAAGTTCTCGGCATGCGCCTCTGACTTTGTAAGCACGTTGAAGAACGTACTTTTACCAACATTAGGCAAACCAAGGATACCAATCTGAATGATTGCATTTTCACAATAAAGAAGTATGCGTATAAACAATACAATGTGCTGCGAAAAAAACCATACACGAAGATTCGTTCCTAATCGTCCTAGCAGTGGTACTCTCTCGACTTCTCCCTTCTTCTTTGGTGCCATTATTCCCAAGCTTTCAAGATGACCGGATGGCCAGTTACCTCACTGTGAAAACAGGTAATGTTTTTTTGTAACGGTTGTACTTTATAGTTGGAAAGTTTCAAGTAATGGATTCAAGAAAAATTTTAGCAGAGAAATGTGACAAAACACGATTACTAAAGACTGAACTTCTCTGATCCATTGGTTTCATCACATTACGACATTTGAAACGCGTATGCTGTCATTCTGACTCGGCAAAAACTGTTCTATTCATAGTCAATATCGGAATATTTCTTCAGTTTTACAATCAAAAATGGGATTCACTACTTCTTCTCGGGCCTTAAAAAGTTCAGAATTTTGCTGAAACAGAGTAATGCTTCATGGTTTAGGCAGAAGCAGCAAATCTCAGTAGCCTGCTGTCATCGTTTGCTTATTGCAGGGAAGGTTCTTCGCCGCCGCTAATGATCAAATTAATTGAAGAAACAGGCTCATTTTGAACATCAGATGGCACTTTCAACGACGACATTGCTACGACTTCAACGTTTGAAGCTTATTAATTTTTACCGCTACACGAAGCATATCATTCAGATATATGTGAGTAATAGCTGTGGTTAGCGAAATTCCCGTCACATGCAGATAACCATGGTTTGACAGCACATGCATTGCTATTGATCTATAGACAAGAAACATATGCAATGAGTTTATTTTACAACAGAATAGTGAAAAATAACGATACACAAATGATTGTTCTCAACATTTTCAAACCACAAAACATGATATAGTAACAGAAAGGAGCCAAAAATAACTGCTGATACATACTGGTACCATGCTTTTTACTATACAATACAGCAAAGAAATTCAATCCAACACGTAAGAAAATCGCCAGCAACCAAAGAGGGCTTACTAACGCAGTTTAGTGAGATCTGAGGTTTCAGTAACCTGGACGAGGTGGCATCGGCATGCCGGGTGGGGGGACACCAGCGCCATAACCTGGTTGCATTACACCCATTGCCGGACCTCCTGCAAGACGATAAACTCAGATTCGATAGAGTGAATATGATATTTCGAAACTAGCTTACTTACCAACACCTCTAACAGCACCGGCGAGTCCTGCTGCTGGTACTGGTGGCATCCCAGGAGGCATAACAGGCATTCCACGTCCGACAGGCTTTGACTGTCCGGGTCCTGCGATACCACCAGCCTTTGGAAGACGGACGGTATCGTCATCCTTTGGTGGAGGTCCGTCAACTGTCATCGAAACGATATGTTCACCACGGAGTAGAACTAGGCCAAGCGTTCGTTTCTCTTCGCCTTCGGCAATCTAAAATCAGATACTACGGAAAATGGTATTTCAGAAAGTTGAAAATCAATAGAGACTCGTCTACTGCTAACGAAGAGCAGAAATTTCGCTATCTATTTTATACAACCAAAAAATGCAAAAGTTCGAATGCTAAAACTTTTCAGGCGAGAGTTAACGTGGTGATTACGATAATAACATCCATTCCGTCTGCTAGGGCTTTTTTGGATTACTGGGGGTACACGATAACGGCACAACTTCCAACTTCCGTATATATAGGAGGGTTATCTGACATGCTGGTCAGGAATACCATACCCATTCCCTATGACCCATGGTGAAGTTACAGTAGGTAAGTGATATGAAATTTAGTTTTCATTCAAAACGCTTCAGTTCGACGACCTATTAGCGATCAGCATGCCAAATAACCTCTCAATACAAAGACAGCAAGTTCGAGATTCTCCATAGCGTAAACCTACCGCTACTGCAAAAAAAAGGCCCTAACAGGATGAACGTTTTTCGCAATAGATGGTCAGACTTCGTATAACTCCAAGTAAATGCAATTTTGGGAAGTGTAAAGTGCAATAGCGCCAAAAAACCGTTCCATTATATATGAGAAATAACGAGAACTCGTACGAGGTGAACTCAAAACCTCACCTTCTTCCCTGGCTTGGGTTTGATTTGTCGAAATTCTTCACAATCTGCCAGCAAGATATTCATGTGCTTATCGAAGGCTGAAATCATTACCATCGAGAAAGAACGAGATCTACGAATATCACTGACCTTTGAAGTATCCAACGAAAGTTCGAGCATCTTGTAGGATCACCTTCATCCTGTAGTTCAAGTGAGCCATCATCTTGTTATTCTTACTGATCGTCTAAAAAACAAAACATCAAAAAACTAAAACCCCAGGATGTGTGAATTCTTACCATCTTGGCTAGCTCGTAATAAAGCTTCTACACTGACAAAACCTTGAGCGATGACACCAAATAAATCTGAAAATCATCTCTGATCTATAACCTTATCTGCGAATAGTTCAAATGCATGAGGCAGTATCACACAAGGAAAACGAAGACAGAAAGGGAAAAGACGACCACTTTTACGTGTCATCAATGAAGTCCCAGAAACTAACAGTACGTCCATATTTACTTTCTGTACCTTGACAACTATGAAATGCTACCGAGAACAGCTAATGACACCAAATGAAAGAAAAACAAAGAACAGAACAACCTTCAAAAAATTCAAACAGTTTTTCTACAACAGAACAAAATTCATCTTTCGAAAAAGGCGGAGTCGCGATCAGGTCGCATCGTCGAGCTAGGACCCGCAGAATGTGCAGTCCTTTAACTCTTTTTCAGATTGTAGCACGATAATGTGGCTCGCGTTTCTTGGACGCGGGGCAGGGCGGGTAGGGTAGTTCAGACATTTTCAAATATTCATGGTTAAGTCCCACAGAATGAGAATTTGCGAGAAGATCGGTATCTTGCGCGACACCCGGATTTGACCCGCTTTTCGGGATTATCCGGACAGTAAAAAATGGATTATCGAGAATAGCAATTTTTCAGTGTACCTATGACTTCTCCAGTTAACGCTTTCTACACGGGAGAATATCGCCTCGAGGGCTTCACTTTGAGCTTGAAGAATGTAACTGCAAAACTTCCACATTTGAATTAATGCTGGTGGGACCACGTTTACCTAGTGGCACAGGGTGTTCACCTGCCCCTGCGCTCTCAATAATGAGATAGTGAGCGCTAGCTAACCCTCGACGAGTCCGACTCTCTGGCTGAGGTGGCACCGCTGCCAGCTCGGTAATGCATCGCTTCTCGGCCTTTTGGCTAAGATCAAAGTTTAGTTTCTGTTCTTATCGAATTAACCTTCGATAGAGTCTCGAATGAGTCTCGTTAAGGTTATTTGATTTTTGGAACCGGATGAGGTTGCGGGCTTGCTCGCACCTCATCACGGGTCGGCCCAGCGTTGCACTGCTGCAGGGATCGGCCCACACCCCTACGAGGGTGAACAAGTCGAAACCACTCTTGGGAACGAGGTATGATGCTCCTCAGCCTATCTAAATTGATCTAATAGGAGAACCTAGAGCGGGGTCCCGTCGGTGATAGAATAGCGACATTATCGGATCTTCCGGAAGAGCTCCCGTTTTTCTCAAAGGAAAATATTCGGAACGACCGCGTGTGTCGTGCAGATATCCCGAATGAAGTTCAGGAGTCCCGGTTTTCCCGCTAATCATTTTATTGTGTCCCGCAGCCATTCCGCCAGGACACAAGCTTCTCACCGACGGGACATAACCGCGAATGTCTGAGAGGGTACGGGTAAGGAGTCACACTGCGCACGGCGGCCTCTCGCCGCACCCAAATCTTGTGCCTCACAAAAACTCTCCGGTGCTAAAGTGGCAGCCAAAAATTGAGTTTTCTTAATCGACGCTTCATTTTCAGAGGTTTTTTTTAATGTTTAGGGCTGAGAGTCAAAGGGGACTTCGAACAATTTCGTGGAAGTCAGGGGGGACTTTTCTCAAGCAGCCTAGAAACGAACTCATGCCGAGTCCTGACTCGAGGAGTTCATCTATGAGGGTCATTGATGGTCAATAGTTAGGATAATCCTATCACATAATCATTTGATAGGTCAGGAGCAAAGATGTTGTACATTCTGTTTTATAAAAAGGCATGACATAGATTATTAACGGAAAAAACACATGATCTTGCATTAGTCGCTGGGGGGTGGTGCAGGAGGAACCAAAGGGCTGCCGCCTGTATCCGCAAGAGATAATTAAGAGCGAGAGCGCTATGGAGAATATTTTGGCAAGGATCCAAGAAAATTTGGCAATTACATTCCTTAGGAACAAATCTTCATAATTTTGCCTGGAGATGAGTTTGAAACTTTTGAAAAACAGATTTTTAATGCTAATTGGAAGGCTCATTCAGTGGGCCTAAAAGTAAGTTTCGGAACTGTAGTGGTAACAAAAGTCAAACTTCCTTGTAGAAATTTTTTGTTTTATGAATTTTGAAGTTTCAAGTGCTTGAAGTCCGAGGTTTTCATCCATGATTCATTCTTTTTTTCTTGGAGATAAGGGAATAGTTTGCTTATTGAGTCAATGAACCAAAACCATCAAAATGTCATAAAAACACATTTAGAGATTTGTGTCAGGATGCACTATGCAGTTTGTCTCATTACTTCAAAACTAATTTAGTTCTAAATTTTAGTGGACTCCATAGGATTTGCCATTGAAACTAGGTTAGTAATCCTTTCGAGGTCGAACACAATAGCAAATTTCACCACATGCAGCTTAGATAACCTTATTTCCTGATTACTGCTCCCTACACTTCAAATTCAGTAATTGTACTTGAAAAATCACTCAAATCTTTCACACAACATTGGACTTGAAATTCCTCAGCTTTTAATGGTGAATTTTGAAGACTCAGTTTTTGGTTAAAATAAAACTCGGGTAGCGAGACAAAGTTGTTTATCTATCCGGTAGGAGTATTACTGAAAAATGCGCATTGCAATACTGATTCCAAATCTGTCCTTCGTAATTCTGAAAGTTACTTCCAAGAAGAGTTATATAGGTTTGTTTCCAATAGATGTCCTCGCCAAGTTTTCCTGGATCCTCGCCAAAATCTTCCCCACAATGCTCGCGCTCCTAATTGTCTCCTACAGGCGGCATGCCTTTGATTCCTCCTGCACCGCATCCTAGTCGCTGAGGTTTAATAGAATGAGCTTGACGTCGAATGTGGTGTGGCGGTGACGACAACACGCGAATGACGACGGAACCCGAACTTCCAAGTTCTACTCCATACGTCTTTTGTTGTTAGTAATGTAGGAACACTATGTTACGATCTGTAGATATCACACAGTCGTCAAATACGCAAACTGGGCGCGGTAACTTTCTATAACAAGTACTACAGTCAAGATACCCTCAGGCATGCTCCTTTTTTACTTGAGAAAGAACCAACCTGCAGGGCAGCTGGAATGATAACTTGATCGGAAAGCGATTCCAAGCGCTGTTTCACGTAAGACTGATTTATAAGTGACGACAGATTTGAGTCTTTGCGCCCACAGGAGCATAACACCCTCATACAAAAAGGCATCACCTCAGCGCCCGGCTCCTCAGACACTCGCTGCGGCGGCGCGCGCGTCTTAGGGAACGGCCATAGGTTGTCGGTGTTGTCGATGTTGTCGGTGTTGTCGGTGTTGTCGGTGTTGTCGGTGTTGTCGATGTTGTCGGTGTTGTCGGGGTTTCCGAGGGCCGGTCGTTGTAGGACCTCATGATAGCCTCCACGTTTCGCGCGCTCTCTAAACTGTCTCTGACCCCGACAACCCCGACAACACCGACAACACCGACAACATCGACAACACCGACAACATCGACAACACCGACAACATCGACAACACCGACAACCTATGGCCGTTCCCTTATGCGTGCGGCCCCTCATGTCGCCCGCCGCTGGCCGTCAAATAGCGCGCGCGCCGCGAGTAGATGGCACGCGCGCCGCGAGTAAATGGTACGCGCGCCGTGAGTAGATGGGACGAGCGCCATACGATAATGGCACGCCGCTCGCACGGTATGAAAATTGCCATTCGCATTTGAAGCACTGCGAATCACGGTGAATCTGTGGTAGACCTGATGACAAGCTTCAATTTCAGGCAAACAATGGCTTCAATTTCAAATATGAACTTGAAGTTTCCAAAGTTTCCAAATTTTTGAAATTTGAAAATTCAAATTTCAAAAATTCAAAAATTCAAATTCCCAAACTTGAATTCAAACTCGGCACCTACTCGCGGTGCTTATGAGGACTGAGTCTCAATGGAAGAACTAGAAGAATCCCACTTGTGTTAATGAGACAACTTCATTGCGAAACAGCGATAACCTTAATGAATTGGCGATAAAGCACCCAAAACACTGCGTCGTACTTCACGCAAGTATCGCTTGTGCTTACAGCGTGTGAAAATGCGGAAGATATCATGGCACGCCACTCACTGATAGATTGCGCGCCGCTCGCACTCTCAACTAGGGCGCGCCGTTCGCAATACAGTGCTGTAATGACGCGCGCGCGCCGCGCCGAGTGTCGAATAAGCGCGCCGGCGGCCGTAATAAGGCGCGCCGCTCGCCGGCTGCGAACGATGGCGCGCCGCTCGCACTGCAGCCTCAACTGTGGCGCGGCGCTCGCACGGCAGCCTCAAATAGGGCGCGCCGCTCGCACGGCAGCATCAAATAAAGCACGCCGCTCGCACTGTAGCGCTATTATGGCGCGCCCGCCGCCGCAGCGAGTGTCTGAGTCAGTCACTTCTAGTGTCCAAGTACTATAATAACTAAGCAGGAAAACCAGTCGAGCAGAGATTGAAACCAAGGAAATGCGACTGCCGGAAGGTGCGTGCGTGTCCGCGCGGTCACGCCATCACGATTATCGAATGAACTATACTAGGTGAATAAACTTTATTTTATAGTCTAGAAATCTCTCGTCACATGGCTATTCATAACAAACTACTGACACTGGGTTACGTTTGTTCCGAAAGACTATCAAATATGGAAAAGGCTTTTGCAGCGCTTGAAGTCAATTATCATCCTACTTACTTGATCCGAGAAAAGGTGTCCATTCTCGCTCATCAACTTGGTGCCATTAGCATTCTTAAAGGCAGGGGCTCGGCAGACTTTCGACTTCGGGGTTCTGGCAGATTTGGGGCTATTCCGGCCCCCTGAAACACGATATAAACTCCCCTTAGCGCGAAAAGGGGGAAAACCCCGTTTTCTGAACCCCCCCCCCCTGAGACGGGCGCGGACGAGTGAGTCGTTTTTCTCTGCCGTCAGAGACACAGATTAAGGAGGTAGAGAACGCTAGAACGATTCTGCCCTACGAAGCTACGAGTGACGGCGCGTTTTCTAGCGGCGAACATACTCGTCCGCACAAGGTGTTAGGGGCGAAAGGAGGAAGGGGAGTGGAGCTTGGCTCGCCCTCCTGGCTTGCAGAATTCACATTTTCGGCCCGGAGTTGCTCTTTTGGTTCACTTGGAGGGCCTCCTATCCATCTATGTCAAATTCTGAGGTAGGTCTATACTGTCGAGCCGCTGCCTTTAGTGGTCAACTTACATTCACAATGTGGGATTAGTCATCATTGCTCGCATTACTGTAAATTACGCCAAAAACTTGAGCTTCTGCTCTGATTGAAAGCAATGGGTTCAATCCGCGAGAATGGGTCACGAGATTTTCGAAGTTTTAGGTAAGTTATAAGTTCGGGTGACTTGTTTTTACTTACAAAATGATTGGAATATTTTTTTTCTAGAAGCTCGAATTAACTCAGGAGCGTGGTTACCGCCACGTCATTCTCAAAAAATTCGGGGTTATGGGTGCTCCGAAGAGTTGGGAAGCATCCCAAGAATTTTCCTTGGAGAGCGATGCTAACATGCTTCATTCGAAAACTTTCGATGGCCCTTCCGCACAATACTGTTAACCTGCCATTGCCTGCTGTGCCACTTCAACAGAATATACTGCAGTACCTAAACGGTGTTTGCAGGTAAGTAAGATTATCTTTGGTTCTGATTTGATTACTTCTTGTCAGAAAAGCTGAAAAGCTAATGAAATGCATTATGAGCATGTCAGTACATGATTTATTTTATCTCTTCCACATCTCTCTGAAAAACTTTGAGCTTGTCATGGGTTGCTCCAAGAAATCTACTCGTTTTCAAAGTTCAAACCTCTCTCTCCATAACTGTTCTTAAGCACGATTACCGCGAATGCAATATAATTTATTACTACAAATCTTTGACAATTCTTTGCATACTCAGAATTCAGTGCAGCAATAACGAGAAAGATATTCGAGGTGCAAATCGCTGAATATCTTTTTTGAAGAGCCTCTACTATGAGAAAATCATAACAGCACTGCTTATTGCAGGTCAACAATCGGCTGACCAGTGCTATCCTTGAAAATATTGAAGAATTTTTTGCAGAAAATTTTGGAAGAACCCACTTATTTCGCCTTCTGAGATGGCAAACACCGCGATCTTCTAGAATTTTTTTACTTCGTTCACCGCAGACAATTGAGAAATGCATTGTTCATGGTCATGTTTGCGCAACAAAAAATTCACAGTTTGAAATTTTTCTCAAATCATATTCCGTTAAGCATTGTAGCGCAAGTGTCCAGAAAAAATTTACTTTTTTGCTTGGAGATTTCACGACAATAGAGCAAAGAAACGCATACGCTCTGCTGTCCTTTCAAGGTAATGAACCACAAAATGAACGCAGTTCTATGAAAATAAGAGCATGAAAAACTAAAAGAAAAGCGCTTTCATATAAGTTCAAAAAATGGATTTTTTTATCCAAATCAGAAGCTCGGATAGCAGTGCAAAAACGAATGCAACTTCTGAAAAAATCCAATACTTACTTTGAACCATCGAAGAGACACGTTATTAAAACATCTGGGGTAAGATGCGCCAATTGTATTCAAAAACACTATATACTACACATAAAACCAAGTTCAAGCAGTGTGCACTGTTCCCAATCGATATTCGTACCAATCATTATAGCGATACAGTAGGTCCACCGATACAGTGAATCGGTGGATCTGTAAGATGCCACCGATACAGTGAATCGTCAACGGTATATAGACCGAATACCTTGGAATAAAACTTCCCAGCATGTTTTTTCGTATCTTTATTGAACGAATTTGGCATGAAATAAGAAAAATAATATCACGGTACTCTATTAGTTATTTCTCTTATTCGAAGGCTTCCTTCGCAAAGATGCTGGTGTCCTTGATCGTTGCCTAAATTTTTTTTTTCATTTATTGTTCTGTCACCGAGGAAACTTCAGCAATGATTTTTAAATATTGTTGGAAGGAGAACAAAATAGTTAGGCTGAAATATGTGCTCAAAGTCACAACTGAGGTCTTGAAAATATTGATTTACTCTTTGTTTTCAAAAAATACGGCAATTATAATCTTTTTGCCTAGTCGTATTAGGTACTTCACCTTCTATCCTCCACCCAAAGTTCTTCCCTTGTCTAGCTGCTAAGCTGTCTCCTCACTTCCAGACCTTATTATTTTCGAAACCTCAATCCTATTCTAAAAATGATGTCTACCATGACATCACCTACTTCCTTAGCAAATGTTTATCGCAACTGTAAGCGAAAGAAGACTTTCGAACTAGCCCAAAGCGGAAGAGGAGTACTTACCTCGAACTACTATATTCGCTAGTTCCTGTCGCAATACTAATCAGTGATTGCAGAAGGCGGCCATTTTCAAGGTCTATACGACGTTTCGATTCCGCCTAAATACTAATTTACTGCAAATCACAGCAAAAGAAACCTACAGTTGAGTTCTATTAATAAATAAAAGATTTAACAAGATTTGTTAGCCGGAAAGACAGTGCAAAACTACATATAAACTGAAGTTTCCCTTCTAATTGCCACTTTTCGCATTCTCATTAGAGTACATCAATAGAAAACTAGATTTACTCACAATCGGCAGAAACCTTTTTAAACTTTGGAGCAAACGACGAGCAAAAAAAGCAGATTGTTAAGCAGGGGACATTAAAAAAATTTCTAGAGTCTATTTTTTACACTACTATAATTAATACCTCTCTGTGTAGATTTCGTCGCGGCGGTGGAGTTGAACGACTTCTCTGTATCTGTTGCTTCACTACGCTTTTCATATCAAGCACCTGCAATTTGCTCCTTCATTAATAACAGTATGAATTTAAGAAAAAAAAGGGATAATTTTTTTTTAGTACTCACCCGTTCACGATGCTGAATATATCGCATCATCCTCTCATGTTGCTGTACACGATCAGTCATCGATGATGCATTAATTAGCAAGTTTATTCATTAAACGCCTGAGGTACCAAAGTAAATAATTTAGTAGTAAAACACTTTGACTGCGAACATGCGATGTAATTTGAGTGTGGGAGGACCCAAAAAATTAGAAAAAAATCTACAATTAGGTGAAAAAATTGTTTGGGTAGGTAAAAGATTTTAGGAAAAAAAAAGACGTGTGAACTCGATAAGAACTACAGAAATGTACGACAGGATTGGACCTATATTGCTGATCAAATAGGCTGGAAATGTCAAGAAAACTTTTTTGAAATTAAGTTTGGCTTGCAAAGACAAATAAAACTATAATTTGAAAGCGAAAGACTGGAAATTAGAACAAGAGAAGTCATTATTATGTGAAAATTTCCTACTGAGTCGCCTCAACATTTGTACGAAGTGACCATAAGTGCAGCTTATAACCTTATAGAATTAAGTCTCTCTAGGCAACCAGAATTTTACGCAAAGAAAAAACAGCTAATAAAGTGTATTGAAATGTCAATAGTAATGCAGTGCCAGGAAGGCTTCTCGTACGGCGTGGTCAAGGTAAATTATAGACCAAATGCGATAATGTGAGATCGCCAGTCTCATGAATATGGGCCGGAAGTAGTGTTCAAGGTCAAAACAAGTAACTTTTGAGGTTCTAAAAGGCTGTGGTTCAATCTCCTTATCAAGTATACCACAAGATTATTTCAAAAACCTTTTCAACCAGATATTTGTCGCAACCAAAAAGTTCCGTTAAAGGAAGTTACCCCATTGCGACGTTTTCACCACGGATATTTAAATGGCGACAGAATAAGCACGTTCTCAAAATTTTTCAGATACTTCATATGCTTTAAATCGCTAAATTAGAGTAGTTTATAATTTTACCCCTATAAATGACTTGTCACATACTTTTATATTTTCGCGAAAAATCATCTCGACAAAAAAACTTGTCGGATACTGTTTTTTTTTTGCTGGCATTTTTTGTCGCTTCATTGGTCTCTCTCAAAATACCGCCGATATAAAATTCGAAACTGTAAATTACATATAAATTGTTACCCAATCGCTTATACCCTTATCGGGAAGAAAACTACACATAAACATCCTAATTATAGCTTGCGTACTACTCTTCGAGCAATCCATCCATATCCGCGTCCAAAGTACACATTACTCGGATGTTAACTAATACTTACTAATTGACCAGTCACATGCTGTGCGGTACAGAGAGATAAAGTACATTTATTAACTTGTAATCAAATATTGAATAATGGCCAGGTTTATATTCAGCAACAAAAAAGGAAAAGCTATATTTTCATGATACATCAGCTTTTTTGCCCAAAATTTATAGCTAATTATCCTTTTACGAGCCATATAACAGCGGAAAATATAGAACTTCAATTTAATATTCATTCTTAAAGCAGGCCTGCTTCTAGAGGAAAAGTTAAGAAAACAGTTTTTATTAGATAAACTTATAGCAGGAGGGGTCCTAAATTGGCTTTGTTTAATAAAAAATTTTTTTTTTGAAATCTTTTGTGTAAGATAGCATTTAGGCGCGGAATTACCCCGTGTCAGTGCCGTGCTGGCGCCGTGCCGTAACCGATCAATACGGGGTTTATGCGGTTCTGGCAAGGCGTTAGAACGGTGCTGGCATGGCGCTGTACAGCTTCGACACATTGGCGCTCTAGATGGAAAGTTTAATACGTCTTGGACTATCCGAACATTTCAAAAGGCCAAAATTTGTTTCTTCTGGCCCAAGTCAAGATTTGTTTTCTCTCCCCTAAACTCGTAGGTCGAACTTTGCAAAAAATCGATAACATCGTTGAAGGTAATAGACAATTCTAAAAACAAAACTTATTCGTAATCAGCATGATCCCTGTGCCAACTCTCAGGCCCGTAGCTCAAATTTTGCAAAAAAAATCGATAAAACCGATAAAAGTATTAGATAATTCCAAAAGTTTATGTTGTTATCCGTAATCAGCATACTCATCTACCCCCTATTCCAACTCCCAGCCCCGTACGTCAAATCATACAAAAAAATCAGAAAAATCGAAAAAGAAAAGTAGCCTACGACACACTCCCCGCCCTGAAGTATGTGTCAATTTTAGTCCGAATCGGACGAAATGGCATTTTCTACTCAGAACATAGGTACTAGGAAGGGGCCCCCTACCCTTCCTGCTTGCGCCTTCCACAACGCATTCGCAAAATTGACCCTATCGATGAGAAAGACTGCCAGGTGTTGCTACCTGCTTCGTTAATCTTTCCCGATTGATTAGCTTATATATGGACAGAATCCTTGCTCTACAGTAGTCTGGCATATATGTCAGATTAACTTCGTCACGGCTTACGAGAGGGAGGAGCCGCTGAAAGCGCCTTGGCACAAGGCTTCACTCTCCTAACGCTTCGCTTTCCACAAACATGGACACCTCATCTCGGACAAAGGTGAGCGGCATCGTTGACTTGTGTCTTCTTCTGACAATAGCATTATATAGCATTCTCCTGAGAATTTAGGTTTCTCTATTCAACATTCTGTGTCTTTCCGAGATCAACTATTATACGATTTGCTCGATTTAATCTAAGTAATTCTAGAGAAAGTTAACCAAAAGCCCTCTATAGCGACTTCGCTTGCACTAAAAGGCGATGTTGACAGCGGAAATTCAATTCTGAGAAAAATAGCCGAACTTCGCAATTTTGGTGGTAGAAAATACATCAGACATCTAGAAAACAGAATTTTCGCAAGTACAATGAGGACACGTAAAATAGTAAAGATTACTGTTCGGCTGTACAGACTATTGCTAAACACTGATAGGATATCTTATAACTTAATCTAACCATGTCATGAGTCTTTTTAATATATTTTAGAAAAAGAAGGGGCCAGAAAAAAAATCGATAAAAATGAGGTATTTAGACGATATATTAGGTTGGCTGAGAAACACCTTCGTTCTAAACACTCCTCGGCATTTTTCTGCTTTGCATTTAAAAAAAATTTCCTTTGTCCAGCATAAATCCTGATTTTCTAAGGATATGTATTTCGCTTCAGTTGCTGAAAGTTCGCTCCCGGAAGTAAAGCCTTCATTAACACCGAGGAATGATACGGAATAAATAAATGGAAACTTTAGGAAGTCGCTACTCTGACATACCTTGAATATTTTTTCTCTGAATACTTCGAAATGTTCAAGCAAATCATCTGAAAAACCTTGAACTCAATCTAGAATAACTTATTCATCCTTTCAGCTAACAATAAGAAGATCTTGATTAGAAATCTTACGCTTGTTGTTGGCGCGATGAAACTCAAAAACTTGATGGAATTAACAACATTGCTTCATGTTGTAATAAACTTGATCCAAAACTGTTTCAAGTCCGTTTGATCATATTTTAAAAGAAGAGAAGGATGGCCAGATTGATGAATATGAAATATTTAGGCGACATAACAGGTTGGCTAAGTAATAATTTCGTTCTCACAAGCAAATGGTGTTCTACAACAAATCAAGTGACTGTTATTTAGCCATGAATTTTTATGTGTGAGTAGCTTTGAACCTCTTCTCACATATTCATCAGAGAAAATTTTGACAGTGACAAAAGACAGTTACGATTTTATACAGCCAAACTTCTGAAAAATCGCTGTTTTAGACTCCCAAGTTCCATTTTTCAACTGTGGGTATAGAGGAGTAATCTGGATATTTCACATAACTTTCGGTTACATGGCAAACCACAATCGTTTGCGACCTGCTGTTTAGGGATTTCTATAGCCAAAAATAAAGATTCTAGCGCGAGGGTCAATTTTTGGGTTGTTCAGATTGCTTGATTTTGACATCTATGGCCGTGCAAATGTTTGGAAATATTAAACCCAATTCCACTGTTTTTTTTGGAACATGATCTTCCAGAAATATGACAAAAAGCCTAGCTTTTTTTACTTTCCTGCACCATTTCGTCACTGAAAAAATTCCTTTTATGCAAACAGAGTTAACCATCCGATTTTTCTTGATTTACTCTTTTCAATCTGTGACATTTCGAAAACTGTTGACGACCAAAATCATTTTTTCTGGTCAACCCTAGTGTTTGGGAATCTAAAAATCAAAATCGAAGAGACAGAACAAATAATAAACTCGCTATGGTGTAATAAATACAATCCAGTCATCTAAAATAAACTTCAAAGAAAATACATTTTGGATTCGCAAACCTTAGACAGGACTGCTAAGCACATAGAACTTTCGCAAAAGCAAGGATCCTCAATTAGCGAACGCTTCGAGTGTGAAGTTGAAGAGAAGAAAACTAGGACTGAAAATCACGAATAGCAAATAGGTTTAGTCTTAGGCTAGACAGGGGAATGACAAAATCCTTGCCTGTGCTGAAATTTTTTTCTATGAATATTTGTTGTGACTCCATAATAAGCAGAGACGAGTCACTTGCGCCATAGCTCGGTAATTTTAATTTTCGAGAGCCATTCTGACAGCGAGCCTTGAAAAATTGAGCAGCAATGGCATGGACTTTGACTGTCACTTTGTGATATTGAACAGATAACTGGAAACTATCAGGTTGTCCGGAAATTAATGCAGGTTCCTTACGCGATCGCGGTAGTGTCAATTTGAAAATTTGGGAAGTATATCATTCGATAGAGCAAAGGAACCTCTGCAAGACCATTCAAGAACGATGTAATTTGAAAGCAAAATTCAAAAGAAATTAAATACCCAAAAATCAGATCTTCGTCCAAAAAGCACCTGCAGACCTCCAACTTGGTCACGCATATGCTCCCTACATCGAATATTTATATGCACACTTAACACATTTTTACAACGCTAAAAACTGAAAATTCAAAGTGGACCGAAAATGCGAGGTTATCTCTCGGAAACTTACTCTCGGGAGGAGCTGAAAGTCTATGGTTGTATTTTAAAGTTATAGTATAGAACTACCTATATTAGAATGGCTCAAAATTGCATTTGCTAGGGCATGCCAACTTTCATTTTCTCTCTTACTAACGTGGAAGAAACATCGCAATTGTATTATACATATAGATGTTTGATGTGGACAGTACATGCCTGACTAAGTTGAAAGTCCGCAGAATGTTTCTGGGCGGAAATCTGATGTTTGGATGTTCGACTTTTTTTTTTGAATTTTGCTCTCAAACTTCACGTAGATCAAACTTTTTGCGATCTTTCTAATGTCGTCTTGTAGAGGTTGCTTTGCTTAATCGAATGATTTGTTCCTCAAATTTTTATATTTACATTGTCGCGATCGAGTAAGGAACCTACATTAATTTCCGAACAAGCTAAGACTCATTGAGAAGAGTTTTTGCTTTTTTTCTTTGGACCTAATTCTAGTAAATCTGCAAGACCTTCTTTGCTCTGACGATTTTTAGCTTTCTATGACTTCTTCGCAGATGATCACTATTTGCAAGATTCCTAATACAGTAGTTCAACGCAAAAAAGCGTGCTATGAATAGCAGCTAAATCCTTCCGCAATATGCTTAAAGGGCTCAAAAAACAAAATGGAGTCACACATCACGATATCTTGATCTCAAGCAAGAAAAAAGAAGCAAGACTGACATTTGCAGCGCATTAAGGTCAACTAATCCGTTTGTTGGGATGACACAAGGAAAAAGAAATCCTTTCGCTGCATCCGGGAACAGACACAAAAACTGAGATGCTGTATTCAAATATTAGTGATATTTCAAAATCATTTTGTGGACTCGCTTGGAACTGATTAATGGATTCGGAGAGATATTTACATGCTTTGTAAGGTAGAACAATCGTACCGAAGATTGCAAAAGTTCTAACGAAAAGAGGCAAGAGGTGGAAAAGTTCGTTGTTATTTTATCGCTGACCATGGGTATTAGGATTTGGATGCTAACATGAAATGCGATTTCTTCAAAACTAGGAAAACATATTAAAAAGATCTTTACGACTTTCAAAGCATCTTTACAAACCAAAATCGAACTTCCCTTCCACCCAAAACTGAGGTGTAGATGCAATTTCAAATCGCAAACAAGCGCTACTGACAGAAGCTAAGGGTCGCATTCACTGATATCCTCGCTGAAGAAGGGATCGCAGCCCAAAAAAAGCTTCATATCCTGAAGCTCTAGTTGTCCGGAATTCACGTTGTCTACCTACCCGTAAGTATCCCTACCGTCCTTCACTATAAACATATTGAACAGGAGCAAGAAGCTATACAAGCCGCATTCCAGCTTTTTGTATGATCCCCTGATGATCCAAGGTGGTCGACCGTCTTTTCTTCAAAGTCAATGTTCTTTCTTCGAAGTTATCGAAAACTTTCCGAACTTTCCGAACTGAACATCTAGCGCAACAGTGCTAAACATATTGCTGATAAGAACAAATGAGTTTTTGAAAAATCGAAATTTTCGATAAACACCAACATTCGACTTGTGGTTCATCGTAAATTTCATGACTTCAATACATCATTTGTTCTTTCAGCACACGTTTAGCACTGTTGGGTTAGATAATCAGCACAACTCTGGAAGGTTTTCGTTGATTTCGACGAAAGAAAAATGACTCTAAGGAAAAGACGGTCGGCAGCCGGGGATCATCAGGTGACCATACGAAAAGCTGGAAAACGCAGTCTGTACAGCTTCTCGCTCATGTTGAATGTGTTCTCAGTAAAAGATGGTAGACATACTAACGGATAAGTAGACCGAGATCCAGAAGTTCGGAGCTTCAGCATGTGAAGCTTTTTTTTGAGCTGCGATCCCTTCCCCTCCAGGAATGTTAATGCCTGAGGGCCTAAAGGGCGTTTAAAACCTTTTTCAATGCAGTGAACACTTTTTTCACTCAAAAGGAAAGGCTGCGCCACCCCTCCTCTACTTCACTTTCTTCAAAATTCAGTGAAGTTCTCAACATTTTAACAAGTATAGTTAAGGATTTTTTGTTTCGCATCTCATAACTAGTTGTGGCTAGAGCAAAATTGCATCGATCAAAAGAAGATATGTGCTAGTATCAGATACAACGCATAATTCCGTCTCTAACTTTATTAAAGCTCTTGTTCAAAAATCTATACAATTTTCACAAAAGAAAAAAAGTTTGGCTATACTGGAACTCCTTCATGGAAAATATTACAATTTCTTCAATATGAGTGACGTTAATCCAAGCTTGTAAGATTTGCGAATGAACTATAATTAGAACATAATCTATCCAAAGCCTCGCAAATCTACTTTTGCACTTTGCTCTATAGTTTTTGCCCAGATTATGGTGTAGAAAGGTCAATCCTTTTTGTAGAGAGACTAGAAGGTTTAATTTTTTCCGACTTTACATGAGACTGATGTCACTGTCCACATCATAAGCCTCTCTGAATTCGAAGGGAAGATTATCGCAAACTTGCATAAGTTTCAGCTTATGTATCAGACATCAAGCTCTCACGAAAATGCGTGCTCACCAAAACTGCATTAGGTTGAAAAAGCAGCAGCAAAGAAAAATGATGAACGCTTCCGAGTAGTCAAAGAAAACAGAAAGGAAAATTTCGGATATGCGTGTCAGTTTTTTGGAGCAAATTAAAAAGTGATATTCATCAACAAGACAACGCAGTTTCTCAAATTCATTGCGCGCACAATTTTGGTGATGTATAGCACAAATCGCTCTCTTCACGCCCATACAGTCGTTGAACTGATTGGTTACCAGCTTGTGCAATAACGAAAAATAATTTGCAACCATGACATCAAAAATGGTTCAACATCATAATTTTTGTTAATCATAGCCACAGTGAATTGACTGTATATGTCGTGAAAAATTAGTAACCAAATAGATCAATTTTCAAACCCAGATTTGTGGAAAACACATGACCTTATTTTGGCTCAGTAACGGTTCAACACCATGTTCTAAAAAACCTCGTTGATGATGATGAGCTTTACTCAGCCAAATACTTCGTATCTTCTATGACCAAATTATGACTGACGTAGTTCAGTAAGTTGCCTAAGACTTTACAAAAATATGCCGGCTCCGCCCCAGGCCTTTTTATTTCAAAATTGCCCAACGTAATTACAGTTCAATCTACCAACCTTTTCCTATGATTAGACCATGTAGAAAATCTAGAAAATTCAGTATATATCAAGAGCAAGATTTCGATAGTTTGAAGTAAATGAGTGCGTGAGGAAGTCATGGACGTACAAGATGCAGTATTAAACTAGATTATTTTTCCCTCAATTGGCTCTTCAAATTTAGCAAGATAACTTGAGTTCCAAAGTTAAAGGCAGCGGCTCAGCAGATTTTTAACTTCGGGGTTTTGGCAGATTTGGGGCTATTCCGGCCCCCTGAATCACGACATGAATTCCCCTTAGCGCGAAAAGGGGAAAACCCCCTCTTTTGAAACCCCCCTTGAGACGGGCGCGGACGAGTGAGCCGTTTTTCTCTGCCGTCAGAGAGGCAGAATAAGGAGGCAGAGAGCGCTAGGTCTACGAAGCTACGAATGACGGCGCGTTTTCTAGCGGCGAACATACTCGTCCGCACAAGGTGTTATGGGAGCGAAAGGAGGAAGGGGAGCGGAGCTTGGCTCGCCCCCCTGGCTTGCAGAATTCACATTTTCGGCCCGGAGTTGCTCTTTTGGTTCACTTGGAGGGCCTCCTATCCATCTATGTCAAATTCTGAGGTAGGTCTATTCTGCCGAGCCGCTGCCTTCAAGAAAGCGTCGCAGCATACTTGTTATGCGAACAAAAATCGCAACTTCGCCTTTGCTCCCAAATCTCGACAATATTGGTCTAAAAGATAAACTACACATTTGCATAAGGTAAACAAGCACTGATTTTAACTTTATCAAACTAAATAACTTCTTTTTTCGAATAGACGCACAAAGTTCATGATTCTTGGTAATCAGAAATGTATAAGCGCGCAAGGCCTCTCCAAAAGTTTCTACGCTGAAAAAGGCAACTGCGAACCGAATTTTTGCGAATAAAGTTTGAGGAAGCAGCATAGCAAGTACAACAGATAAAAATTTACAGCTTTCAAGAAAATTCACGCAATCGCGATAGAAAATACGAAATTCGCATGCGTCTGGAAAAATTCAAGTGCAAGCAGCTGGGCGGGAAATCTGAAGCGACACCTAGCTCATTACAACTGCTACTACTACCACATGGCAACCACCATCTTCGATTATGGCAAGTAATGAAGCGTAGAGTCGAGTTTGATGCGTCATCGATTTACCTACTCTCAGCAATCCATAGCAGCTTCAGTTCTACACATTAGCATTCGCCTATGCTCGATTTCAAAGGGGGGCCGCCAGCATCGTCAAGGAAACCTGCCATTACCCAGCTGTTAGCACGATTAGTTGCTTATTACATCAACACAAGCTACACGAAGCGAAAGAGCCCTGGGCAGCTCGGGCTATCAGGATACGCAAGTAATGGAAAAGGAGATGAGGAAGTGAGATGAAGTGAAAGGAGCGTTGTTTGTCGCTCTCGTTCGACATGAATGCGACGAAACAGCAATATCTTATGATTTTTGGCAGACGAAGTTCACAAAATTCACTCAGAAAAATTACCTAACCAGCAAATCTTCTGCTCCGTTCATACCACGAGCTAGAATTTTGACAAGTAGGTAATGAGCTCTACCCGATCTGTGTGACTAGCTGGATTTGTTCTTTGTGTTTTCATTTTGGCGCCATCGAGTGTAGCAAATTACAATTTGGAGAAAAACATTATCTACAGTAATTATCTACGATTGGCCATAGAAGCACCAAAATTTTTGAAAATTGCAGCTTTCCTAGGTTAAAAAAATCTGTCCAATTCACGTGGCTTGGAAAGCGGAAATTGAGCATTTCCTAATATATCTTGAGCGATTACTGAAGATGGATATCGAAGCAATGAAAAACGCTCAAATCATCCCTTTTCTACAAATTTTTGCTAAAAAAGCTACAAAGCAAGGCAAAATTGAGTCATTTTGGTTTTGAATATGGTCTTATTGTCTTACATCCTTCCCAACTAAGAGAATTTGTATTAACTGGATGTATCTATGAATTGTTTTTTGTTACCAATAAAATCTCTGATAAGCATAATAAATCAGAGTATATGTTATATGTTACAAAAAATATTTGTTTTAAAACTACATTCCAGAGTACTTTGAGAACGATTTCTTTCCGTCCCTGACCTAATTTGTATGTACTCAACTGATATCAGATAACCAAAATTTTTTTTAGTGAATTTTGACTATGAAGCAGCTTGATATGTGACTGTACAAAGTTGCTAGTCATGTTGAAGTATAATGCGATTCGGTTTCCAAGAGAAATCTAATTAGAACTGGTGGTTGCCAAAAAAAGTATATGAATCAACTACTGCAAGTTAAATTTTATAGATCTAATACACAAGGAGTTAATCACGTTTTTAAATCAACATTGACACCAATCAAAGGCCAATTGGCTATCTGTTCAGATTTTAGCAAATTTGTTTCGCATCGATTCTTTGTTTCTGACCCATCTTTGATCCTTGAAAATGTAGTAAGAATCTGTATCATCTAATGTGCACTCTCAGTCGTTCTCAGCACATTTCGTACGATTACTCATACTAGCCTTTAGGTCCGTATTCTGTCTTTTGATATTTTTGTATACAAAGTTTTGTGCGATAATTAGGAAGCTCTTATGCTTCTTGTCTATTTCCAAGTGGAAAAAACCAAAAAAAGAGAGAGGCGTTATTCATAGAAGCAAATTTTAATGGAGCAAAATTGCAACTATTGAATGAAAATACAGTTCATTTTGCGCCATTGAATGAATTTGGAAACTATAGAATCTTTGATAGAGATAAGAAATTTATGCAGAATGTACAAGGGAACAATAAACTCTGTCAACCCTAATCTATAAATTACATCGAGAGATGTGAAAAAAAAACGCAATCGAGTTCTTGCTTCACGTCGAAACTTGAATGAGCATTGAAAAGTGCAAGTGTCGATAAGAAAAGTCCTTTAGCTCAACAATCACTCTGAGGTCAGTAGGCACTTTCAAAATCGTTAAATTATGGTCCACTGCACTCTATACGTTTTGAGACCTGTAATAATTGTAGGAGTCAAACGATCTACTCTACTATTGCTCAAAAGGCGATATACATGGCGTCGATGAAGAATCGCGGAAAGACGGAGTAGATCCGAACGTACGAGATGCGGATGGAAACACACCTTTGATACTGGCTACAGAAGCAGGTAAGAACAGAAAAACACGAAATGTATCTTCCCAAGTGATAGAGCGCCTTCGTTTCTATGGACACTTAGGGCACCCGCTAATTCATTTCTGACGGATGATTCGTAGACCACATTCGGTGACATTATTTATGACATCGCTAGAAAGCTAACTGGACTCACTGCCATGCTCGCTCAAATCAACATCATTCATCTGGTGGATCTCACCATTTTCGAGATAGTTCTAAATTGATATCCACTGAATCAGAGCGTGAAACCTTCCAGCGATGGATTTTGAGTCAGCAAATCGACAATTTTGCAAAAAAAAAAAAAACTCATGTTCTCTATATTTTTGAGAAGCGATCTGATTATTCAATAATCCCACCATCGCGTAGAAGCAACGATCGAGGGAACGCAAATTGCATGATTAGAAGTTTAGGTAAAAGTGATAAAAATACGAAAAAAAATCAGAAGTACGAGGGAGGAAAGCAGAAAAAAATAGGTGATTCTCAATCTTCAAAGTTCAAATAATTTAGTAGACATAATCCGGACAAATCTTAGGCCTAAGGCATAATTCGCGCAATTTCGTCAAATCGCTACATTCACGCGACTTGGCAGTTTGCCAGATATTTACAGATCAATCGTGTGCGGGTCCTAAATGCATAGGCGCGTAGCTACCTTAAGCTATACCAAAAGCTTTGAGTCTGGCCCATGCAAAGCGCGCTAACTACCAGTTACGAAGAGTCGCTGCAGTGCCAGATCGCGCAGCGACTGGAATCGCGTGAAGTATGCCTTAGACCTTACTTGTACGGTAATCTGATGAGCGGTGACACAAAAATTTGGTAGTTCTAATGGAAAAAAACTTCATTAAATCTTGAAGAACGATAGTACAGGACGAATGCTTTCAGGTCATACAATCATTGTTGAAATGCTACTTTCACGCTTTCCACAAATACGAATTGATCAAGTGAATCACCTAGGTGAGTTAATTAGATTGCTGAAAAGTTGACTGTATTCATAATAGCAAATTCAGGACAAAGCGCTTTGATGAAGGCAGCCATCCAAGGTCGAGTAACATGTGCACGAGCTTTGCTAAGAGCTGGTGAGGCTAGCGCTTTCGAAGGGTTTTTATGAATAAAATGTTTTTAGGAGCCGACCCTACCTTGCGAGATTTCTCTCGAGGTTTTTGTGCACTTGAGTGGGCTGAGTATGTAGGACGAACAGAGTGCATGCAAATTATCGCACATTACATGCTAAAGCCGGGAAAGCGCGAAAAAGCGACATTTACTGCTATGATTGGCGATCTACAAAAGGTATGTAGGATTCATTTATGAAAACAGGATAAGTATTTTGCTACTTTGTGGTGCCGAGAAGCTCCAGAAAATCTATTATAACTTAGAGATTTTTTTCATTTTTCCGCCTAAATTGTAAGACGGAGAATGAAACAGATAGTGCATTATAATTTTGAAAAAAAAAGGTTGGTATGAAAATGAGAGCAAAACTCACAAAAATTTCAGATGACTGCCGCAGCAACGATACCAGTCTTAGGAGAAACCGTCGACACCCTCGTGCCGTTACCACGACCTCGTTTAGGCTCCGCACCCATTCCCAGACTGGAAATTACCGTAGCTCCAGACTTGGTGAGAACTAGAGTTACCAGATAATTCATGTTTTACATACAAAGAGGAAGCGTTTTTTGGGACACTTGTTGAAACCATTATTTTTAGGGACCAAGAAATAACAGCTACAGCTGTCATCGAAAACGTCGACCAAAGAGTGCAATGGCCTAGTACATGATTGCATAGCAATGTAACAATAAATGTTATATTGTTCGAAAGCAGCCTTACCTAAAGCTGACAAAGCCACAAATCTCACGTTAGAGGCAATCTGGGACAGCCCAGCTCTCCCTCTAAGAACTTAGCTATTTTAACAAAAATGATTCATTACTGTGCCTAATTCGATAACAACATGATAAATAAAATAAATGCATGCATTTGAAGCCACTAAAAAATTGTTGCATTGTCAAAGCAAAAAAAGCATTAAATGCGAGTTGAATTGAGAGCAGTATTAGAGCCGTAAACTGAGACCATAAGCGTGAGAAATCTTGAGCAGACAAATAGATAGCAAATGGAGGATGAGATCAACCAAAAGAAACTGAAGCGAGCAATGTTAAACACCAGACCTGAGACAACGAACAAAAATTGAGAAAAAGGTTCTAAGGAGATGAAATTGTATCATCTGGAGGTTCACCCTTGAAGATTTTCATCTTTTGTAGATCCAATGGCTGTAAAAAATATACTAAAGTCACTGATCTCATATGAGTGCTCTGCATCACGATTCAATGAATCACTCACTCCTGTTTTTCGACTACGTCTATCATACCATGGTGCAGCTTTGTATTTGAAGATTCTTTTTCCAGATTTATCGTAGTTAAAGTCCTTGTAGCAAGCATCGCATAAGAACTGTGTGTAACAGGGCATGCATTCATGCTCCCAAAGTACCCATCTAAAATGTGATTAAAGCATGAGGTGATAGAGTCGACGAAAAAAGTTTCCCACTCAGCTGTCTCCTCCTTACAACCAGCACAAGCGATGCGACGGAAATTTCGCTCATAGATAGGAACCGGGTAAGGGCCAACCGGATGACTAGTATCTCTAAACGAAAGGTTCTGAGAATATCATCAATAATAAGAAGGTAGACGAACCGCAGAGCAGCTCTGGTAACAACAACCAGATGTTCGCAAGCTCCAACATGGTTGTAGAGGTAAGGTGCACCAAAGCGACAAGTCAGATCAATGATCCTTGACATAATTAATGGAAAATGTGAGGAAACAGAAAATCAGAAGCTTACCTAGTTGTATTCATATCCGCTACTTTCATATCGGCGATATTTCGCTCAGTAGCCCATTGTCGGATCTCACTAAACCAAAATCAAGTAGATAATTATTCTACACTAGAAGCGGGTAAAAGGCGAATATAAAGTAAGAAGCTCCATGGAATGGGCACAGATACCCAAGATACAAAGCCAATCGATGGTATTCAATTTACCTTTGAAAGATTCAAAGTGCTTACACTGTGATATCCTTAGAACCTTCTGGCTCCAGATCGATGTAGAATGTGTCATGAAAGAAGAAGTAAGAAGATGGGTAGCGATTCTGTAACAAATGTACTTTTTCTAAATCAATAAACATTCTGTAAATACCTTGCAAAGATCTTCTTTCGTTATGGAACGGTCCACAACATTTTCAAGCACTTGATAATCTGATGTGCAATCGATAGCATTTTTCAAATCTTTTAAAGTGTTCGATCCGAGTATCAAGAATCGGTCCAACACTTTCATCTATAAAAGGATGTTATCTACAGTCTCACAGGATGAAGAGAGAGCTTAGATACCAATCTACCAAGTCGGATTTCATGTTTTTCAAGAGGGCGTGGATAACCAAGAAAAATAGCAATTTCAACAACTATATCATCCTGAAAGTGAAATCAACTCCAAAATGTGATGAAAGAATTACTCACTTGAGCCACATCACTGTCACTGTCTCCTGCAGAATCTGAGCACGAATGAACGTTAGTAAGTGGACCTGGTTCTGCGTCTAAATCACATTAAAGATTCTCAGCCGATTCACAATACAATCTGCTTTCTTTTGTTACGATGTGAACTTTTTTACTCATCTATAATTAAGAAAAGTTATACAGGACAAGTCGAGACAAGTCGCATCTCATTTGTAGAAGCTGACAGAGCAGCTACCATATTTCAAC